TCTTAAAAACTTTTTTGGAAAAGTTTTCTTTAAAACATTTTATGGTAAGCCAGGTATGGTGATACATGCCTATAATTCCACTACTCTGGGAGGCTGAGTAGGATGATAGCAAGTTTGTGCCCAGCCTGGGCAGTATAGGAACTTAGTGAGACCCTGTCTCTAAAAGAAAAAAAAGAACAAAAAATATACAGAGAGCAGGCTGGACATGTAGTTCATTGAAAGACTCTACTTTAATGCTAGTACCATAAAAAATGATACGTGTTTTAGGTTAATTTTTATCTTATTTATTTTTTGCCTTTTTACAAGACTGAAACTCACTATGTAGCTCAGGCTGGCCTCAAATTTGTAATTTTCCAGCCTCAGCCCTCTGAGTGCTAGGATTATAATTATCCTAATTATAATTTATTTATTTTTATTGGTACTGGGGATCGAACTTAAAACCACGCACTTGCAAGGCAAGTGCTTATGCTGCTGAGCTAAATTTTCAGCCCCTTAATTATTGTTAAAAATTAACTTACAAATAAACCCTTTTTAAAAAATCTCAGTTTTAAAAAGTCTGTTTTACTGTGTGTGTGTGTGTGTGTGTGTGTGTGTGTGTGTGTGTGTTTTGAGACAGGGTCTCACTGTGTAGCCCAGACTGGCCTCAAACTCATGGTGATCCTCCTGCTTCAGCCTCCTGAATGCTGGGATTACAGAAATACACCACCATGCCTGGCTCAGGTTTCATTTCTAAAATGGCAAATACTGATAGACATAAATCAGAAGAAGCTTTTTTGGGGGTCCCTTGTAAGTGGGGCCTCTTTGAAAGCCCCCAAGTGTGAGAAGTGCAGCATTGAACATGTGCCACCCCTGAGTGTGGAGCGGCTGTGAAATTGTCCAGGCTTCTGAAAAAGGTTGAAAGATTCAAATGACGTGTGGAGAAACAAGAGCATCTCCACACTTTCAAACATTGATTCCCTTTCTGTCCCACTTCTAGTTCTTTTCCTTGGTCTCGATAGCAGAGATTTCAAATTCATCTAGGTTAAAATGCGTGTGTGTCACCACTAAGTTTAAAGACGCAGCCCTGTGAGCATCTGTTGTGCCTGCTGTGCTCTACTGAGGGAAACAAGACAGTCCCTCTGGCTCCACAAAGCTGCCCGAGGGGGTCAGAGATGACATTCCACCTGCATTTCCATAATACTGGCTTTGTGGTTTCAGAAGAGGATAAATTTCCTCATAGTCAGTTATTTGGAAGTATAGTTCCAGCAATAACCCCAAGAAAATGTTTGTTAGACTCTGTGTCCATGTAGGCCTGATAACATTTGGGATTATTTAATAAGACACCCAGAGCATAGTCAGAGACCACCTGTGTGTAGATAAGGAGCCTGTGGGTGATTTGGCACCTGGAAATTGAAGAGGGCTCAGCACAGTAATCCAACAAATAGCCTGAAGTTTGTTCAACCTCTGCATATTGTTATCTAGGAGTAGTTGTAGAGGACCAAACTGAGAAAACCAAACTTCTATTTCCTCATCTATGCATATGAAAATGATTGAACAGGACTGGAAGTTATAAGTGTTTGATTTGCACGTCTCCCTCCCCAGGAGCCTGGGCAGCCACCGGGGAGAACTTGGGTCCCTTACACTACTGGGTTTGGCAACTAGGTTTACAAAGAGAGGAAGGAAGGTGTGATGGGACGTCACTGTCCACCTCTGGGACACACTCTCCTGGGAGGGTCACTGCTGAGTTCCCGGATCCCCAGTTGGTCTATGGAGAGTTCTGGAATGTCTTACTCAGAGTTTATAGGAGCTGGAGATTTATCCTGAGGTTGCAAATGCTTTTGCCAAAGAAAATGGTGTAGGAAAAGAGTAAAACTTCTTATACACAGAAGCAAAGTGACATTTTGAGCAAATTAAGTTATTTAGTCCATGTCCTAATTTTAGAGATGTTACAAAAAAATTACTACTAGCAACGTAGTGCTGTTTTACTAGCAGCGAAAAAACAAAAAGAATAATGTCGTAGATGAGTCTTCCTCCCTGCTTCTGTCCTCTCCTCTCCCTCTCCCACTGAGAACTGAAGGGAGCTGAGCTACCTCTGCAGGCTACTTTTTCTTTCTTTTTTCCTTGGGTCAGGGACTCCCTAAGTCGCTGTTGTCCAGGCTGTGTCTATGCTTGAGATCCTCCTACCTCAGCCTCCCAGGCTAGAGTGCTGGGCTCACAGGCGCGCACCTGCACACTCAGCTCTCTGGGTTCTTCTTCCTGGGGCTGTTGCTAAATGCTGTCTCCTGGAAAGAGCATTCGGTGGAAAATCTGTGCACGTGCTTCATGGTCATGTTGGCCCTTAATTTTCTGATACTTTGGCTTTGATGCTGTTTCTCTAGGGCTGTTCTGTTTGGATCCAGGGGCTGAGAGGAGATGTTCCCGCAGTGTTAGATAACATCCAGGCCCTGGACTCACTCTTCCAAGGGAGCTGGCTTCTCTAAGCCCAGGGTGTGTTCATGCCCCCAGTTCATGCATGCAGATTGCTCATGCATGCAGTGCCAGGGGACCCTTGCCCCAGGGAGGAGCTCTGCTCTCTGGAAAAACTGCCTCGTCCTTCGATTCATTCTGGTGCTTCTCTGCAGTTGCATCGTGCAAGCTAAATAAGCCAATGGCTTCTCTGTGCAAGGCTATACCACGGAGCTATGCCCCCAGCCCATAATGCCCCTATTGAGAAGCAGAATGCAATGAGGTCAGTAGGTAAAGATACCCAGTGAAGGCCATTAAGCATCATTAGTGCTGGGATGTGTAAGACAGGGCCAATCACTCATTCACTGGTAAGGTGTTAGCGGATTTTCAAAGTACAAACTAGTTTTCAACAGAAAACAAGCAAGTTGTTACCTTGGATACCCTTTACCCTCCATCACTCAGGCTTGCAAATGTTAAAACAAAGAATCAGTTTTTGAGCACTGCTGAACGCCTCTCAGACTTTCCCTCTGGATTTTCCCACTAAGATCTGTAGCCTTTAAACCTAGGAGAGCTTTGCTCCCAGTGGGCCAGTGGGTGTAGCTCAGCGGCAGAGCCGTTGCCTTGCGTGCTCGAGAGCCGCATCCGCACAGAGGGTAGCGATCTGCTGCTCAGGGAGACGACTGCTTTGTGCCAGCTGCGTGTGGACATCGCTGTGCGATTCCCCAGCTTCGCCCCAGGACCAGCACTGGATATAAAATACGATTATGTTATAAGGTGAGGCACACTGAGTGGACATTATTTCTCGTCTATCTTTCCCTCCCCCGAGTGACAATGGTGGAAACATCCCGTGCAGGAAGACTGGCAGGCCAGCAGCAGAGGGTGCAGTGTCCACTGCAGGGGGAAAAGCTGGCACTGTGGGTGCACAGCCCCGGCCACTGTGGGCCATCAAGTCAGCACCAGCTGAAGCGTTGGTTCTCTGTTGACTTGGCTGCAGTCATGCACCATTATCTTTTTTCTTTCCTTCTTTTCTTTTTTCTTTCTTTCTTTCTTTCTTTCTTTCTTTCCTTTCTTCCTTTCTTTTTGGTGTCATTTCTTATTATAATAAACAGATTCTGAATTTGCTGTTCAATTGGCTTATTTTACATTTCAGGACTTTAGATTTTTCCAAGTTAATGTTTTTAGTGTTTTGCCAACTTATTGAATGCCTTGTGATACAGAAAAACACTTGTTGATCCAGGTAAAAGAAATAAGAGGGGAGGAGGATTTAAGACAACTCTAGTCTGTCTCTTTTGGGAAGTTTCCTTATTTGCAGATATGTGGCAAACGCACAAAACCCAGTTGATCAGTCCCTACCATCCCCTTGCTTAACAAGCGCTGGCTCTGGCTCTCCTGGGTCCTGCCAGTAGGGTTGGGGTTGGTGTGTATGGCACAGAGTCTGCTGAAGCAGGTAAGGGATCTCATGATTGCCTCATTTTTACCACCACACCCCAGAACCTTGAGGATGCCTTGAAGATACTGCGAACCTATACCAACACCTGGCTCCTGGCCCCCACATTTCCTTTGGGGTTAGGAAAAGAGTAGGGGTTTCCTGTGCCAGTGGGGAGTCTGGCTGACCTCCCTTTTGTGTCTCAGGTGTGACTGAGAGATGGGGAATGTTTACATTTAAAAGGTTTACTGCAGCAAAAGACACAGAGCTGCTCATATCCCTTGAAATGCTCCTCCTCAAAATAAAAAAGCTCCTCTTCCCTCTGAGCCCACTTATGCCTTTGCCCTCACCACTTTCTCTGGAAGTCCCCCTCTCTGAGTGTTTTTATGAAATGTGATAAAGAACTGTGGTGAATGCTGCTGCTGACTGCTATCCCCAGGAAGGCGTGTTCCTGCAAACACCCCACCGTTTTCACACCTCAGTCCCCAGCCCGCAGGTGACTTCTGGCTCTCCTTGAAGTCAGAGTGACCCTGAGAGGTAAACATCATGGATCAGCTCAGGACATTGAGGCCGACAGTGCAGCTAAAGACATGCGCACGAAAGGCGGACTTCCAGAACTGCTTGAGCAGACCCCAAGCAGGGTCCCTGTCCTGTGTCTCCAGATCCTAATACAGTGTTAGGGGAGGCTGGCTACGGCTTGTCTTTGGAGGAATGGAATCAATTGTATTGGGAAGAGTGAATCCCGATGTCCTGTGTGGATTCAGGGGCAGTTACAGGCCATGCCACGTGTGGCAACATTGCCAGGGGTAAGCCGTGCTTACGACTCGGTGTCACCTCTTTCATTGTGGCATCTGTCCTCTGACACTCTCCCCAGCTTCCTGTGAAATCTGAGCCAAACTGGGATTCCTGAGTGGAAGGTCCTAGTTTTGAGAGCTGGATATTTGTGTTGTAAGATTATGTTGCAAGACACAAAGGTGACGTTTAGTAGGTCTTAAGAGAAGACTGTTTGTACTGGGACCTCACCAATCACATGTGAGTTTGTTTTGCGCTAGTCTTCGCATTTTAATGAGCACCCATGATACCTGTGGCCTGCCTGGGCTGCTGGTTACGTTGCTTTTTCTCTTAGAAAATAATGACACTTTCTGTTCAGTCCCAGAAATCCTGGATTGAAGGAGTGTTCAACAAGAGAGAATGTAGCAAGGTCATCCCCAGTTCCAAAGACCCCCACAGGTAACATTTTTAATTACCTTTTTATAAAAGCAGTACTACTTAGAGGGCTGTTTGTAGGAAATTAGAGATACGATTTGTCTAGAACCTTTGATAGTTTCTCTAGGGTTACTATTTGTTAATCCCGATGAGAGGGTTTTTTCTTCCTTCATTTTATAAAAGTATAACATGGTGATTGTAGACAATCGGGTATGGAAAGGGGTGCTTGTCAATGTTGTAACTTTAGCCATGGTTCCTACGCGACAGTCAGCGCCTGTGTTAGCTCAGTGCTGTCCTAATTGGGCCCTGATAAACATCTGTTTACCGAATCAGTGCAGAATAAAGCCGCTAAACCTGCTGACCTCGCTGCCACCACAGTAGTAGATTTCCTTCCTTCCCATGATCCTCTGCCTCAATAGATGTTTTAGGAAAACAATGCATTCCTTCTGCAAAGTCCGAATCAGCAGTGTCTCATATCTGGCTTTGAATATCCCAAATACTGGAAATGTCCTTGTCCCTAGCTCCACTATCTATGGAAGACAGTGTCCATGCAGGCCAGTCCAGACCGCAGAGCTCAGACTGTACAAATGTGTGGTTTTAGCTGCAGGTTCCTCTCTGGGGCTTTTCGCTGGAGTGGAGGATGAGAAGGGGAATGGGATGGTGTGAGTTTGACTTCCCTGAGCTCTTGATAGTGCTTTGGAAACTCTACTTGTAGAACAAAGTTCAACACAGCAGGCCAGGAGAGAGAGAGGAAGAAAGGGCTATGGAAAATTCCCTGGGTACTCAGTTCCATGAAATTAAGATTGGATATCACTGCCCTGGGGGGAGAATTAAAAGGCCATCCTGCAACCTATTGAAAGCTTAGGAATCCTAACTGTGTGCTTAGGGCGGTTGGAGTGGTGAGGTTCTTGAGATTCTAGTTTTTGAGGATGACCAACGAGGGCTCTTTGCCTGTGTTAAACATTGACCAGTCCCACGCTGCTTCAGTTTATGGTGTCTAAGCCCTGCGATTGGAAATTCTCATTTTACCTGTGTGCCAGCGCTGTGGAAGGCCAGGGTAACCTTGTTCTCCCCTTCATCTTTTATGGTGTCTCATCAGGAGATGGTGGCTGCAGGGGAAAGTAGATTGTTCCAAGTGGCTCGTGTTACCTCTGTAGATGGAAAATCATCTTCACAATTACCTTGAACCCCATGGAAAAGCAATGAAATTACCAAGTCTGTTATTAACCCATAGAATAGCAGAACCCACAAATACCTGCGGGCTGGGATGACTCGTGGTAGAGCACATGGTTTGCTCCTGTGAAGCCCTGGGCTTGAGGTCAGGCACCAAAAACAAGAAGAAGGAAGATCTGTGATCCTAATGTCACAAATGGCCCAAAGCCTGCTACATTCTGTGGAGAAAAAAGGGGTCCCTCTTTTTGCTGAGTTATAAAAAGCTCATGGATGATAATGGCCATTCTTCCTATATTACTCTTTATGGAATTCCAGTAAGGTTCTTGAAATTATAGCTTTTTATGGTTTTCCTCATTATAGTAGAGAGGAAAATAGAGGTGTTTCACTATTTTAAACTTCAATAAAATTTTCATTTCCATTATTGATTCCCTTTTAAGATCCTAATAAGCAATCTGATGGACTTGATTATAACACCTTTTCCTTCTTTTTTTCTTATCTTTTTGAGGCATAATTTTGCTATGCAGTTCATCCAGGCCTTGAATTCATTACATAACCCAGTCTGATCTCACTTGAACTCTAAGTAATCCTCCTGCCTCAGCCTCTCGAGTGCTAGGATTACAGGCATGTGCCCCCATGCCCAGACCCAGATAAGCCTTTTAATCATTTTGTGGGCAGATATTATTGTCAAATGTGAAAACTGATGCTGAGAGGAGCTGCTAAATCAGTGAGATTAAAAACCCAGGTATTCTGTTTCAGACTCCGTGTTTCATTAAGTACATCGTAGCTGCTGCAGTATAATTATTTGTAGTAAATGACGTACTGAAAATGTTACATGGGAATGCTCAGCAAATCCTGATTTCCAGATCACTGAAGATTAGTTACCACATAAACAGATAATTTTACTGCAGCAGCTATGATGCAATTTTCGAATATATCAGTAAATGAACAAACACCTATTTTCTTAATTTTAGATGTGCTCCAGGCTGTCAAGTGTGCCAGAACTTAATCAGGTAAGACTTACATAAGCTTCTTTTTAACTTTATGGTGTTGTGTTTAAAACTCAATGGGATGGCGTCTTCATGTCGGGCATGGAACTCACCGTAAGACATATGCTATTGCCCATTCAAGGGAAGTTTTACAAAAAAGATTATTTTTGAGGAAGAATGATTGAATGTCTTTAGATACTTGAGTAACCAAAGATGCGAATGGTAAGAGCTTCAGCCAGTGGAAGCACTTGTAAAGCATTGTATTTTTATTTTACTATTCATTTCATTTTCTTACATTGCATTTGGAAAAAAGGAAGCTGCTTTTTGTATACACAGCATGGTGTTTGTTTTATAGCTTTTTAGTTATCTTAACATAATTAAAATTTATTAATATATTTTAAAATTTAATGTGGTTCAAAAATGAAGTGCAAATAATATGTGTACATAGCAAATTTATGTGCAAAAATATTTGTGTAGCACATCAAACTAAAACCTGCAGCACAAAACAAATTAGCAGTGATGTATGTTTTACATTAAGTGTTAGTAATTAGTTTTGCCTTTCTTTTTTTGTCATTGGAAGGAAATAAAAGTTCCTTAATTCTAATTTATATTTTATACTGTGAATGGAAGCAATGTTAAATATATTTTTTTAAAAAAAATTACCTTTTTCAGTTTTGAGAATAGTGAAGAAAAACATGCAGTGATTTCAGGCATTTGTGAAACAGTAATCTCGAAAGAGTCTGTTAGCTGTTGGTGGTTGTGGTCATTGTACTTAGGCTGCTGATACATTTTGTGAAGGATTATGTCCCTTTTTTGATTGTACCCAAGAGAAACATTGATGTCATCAGCCCTACATTCATGAAATGCTTCCCAGGTGGCTTGGTATCAGTAATTAAGGGTTTATTCTGTAATCCTGCACTAATTTCAGTTTTTTTCAACAAGCTTTTTGTGAGCGGCACACAAAATTCCAGAATTTGATAGCAGTATTTTTTCTGGAATGCTGGCCAATAAGTTTGGGTGTATAAATGATAAATTTAAAACAGTTTATTTGGCTTTCTTGAAGAAAGGTTAGAATTTGCATTTCTATTTGCTAAATTAAAACTTATGGATGCATTTTAAATTTTCACATGGTTTAGAGCATAGATATCAAAAGACGTGAAATGCAGAATGCCACAGGGAAAATCTCCTGGCCACTCTTGGTGGGGAGGAGGCCACCCATCCCCCTTCTTTGATGCATCCTGTCTGCTATTTAATTAGAGTTCTGGGATCCCTCGCAGAGTTTTCAGTTCACATAAACCAAAGTGAAATACATATTTTACTTTTTCTCAGGCCATTTGTTTTGCGTAGACCTTGAGGTCCTAGCAGAGAATACGCCAAGCGCGCCATGGTGAATTCCTTGTGCTCCTTAACTGTGGACGCAGGAGCTCCTTCTGTAGCTGCACAGAGAGCGTCCCTTGTTCTTCACACCTCAAAGTTCACCTGTGTTGTCACATGTCATGATTTCTTTCCTTTCTAAAACTTAAGCACATTCCGTTATATATATATCTCACGTTTTATTTATCCAAGAATCCATAGATGCACATTTGGATTTCTTCTGCCCATAGCAATTATAAATGATGTTTCTATGAATATGCATGTACAATAGACTTTTAGTAATTTTTTAAACATACTCCACATAATTCTTCTGCCTAACCCAGGGGGGAAAAAGCCAATTAGGATCTTTCCAGAAGATAACAGAGGATAATCTACTGTTCGATCTAATATAAATCTTACTGTGAGGTTTTCTTTTTCTTTGCTGGGATTGAGCCCAGAGCCACATGCAGGGAGGCAAATGTTCTACTAATTAACTACATCCCCAACCTTTTTTATTTTTGATTTTGGGGCAGGGTCTTGCTAGTTTGCTCAGACTGGTCTTGAACCTGTGATCCTCCCCCCATCCCAAGTACCTGGAACTGTAAATGTGGACCTACAGTATACGGAGCCAATGCAAGCTTTCGAATTACAACATCGGTATGTCACTCTAGGAAAATGTAGACGCAGTGGATCTCTTTGAGGTCTGAAGTTTGTTTTCCTGGATTTAGATGCTACTGTGGCCGATTGGTTCAAGACCATCATGGGATAAGTTACAACTGGACCTTCTCCACTGCCAAGGATAATGAAAATGAACAGTGGTCTGTTGAAAAACACACGGTGAAAAGCCCTACGGATGCCTTTGGTACTATTAATTTCCAAGACGGAGAGCACACCTACCACTCCAAGGTTTGTTAATAATCCACGTTGTTCTGCTGGCTTTGAATAGAGGGGCCAGAGGTATATCTCCAAGTGTAGACCATCAGGTGACCTTGCTTGATTGCAGAAAAGACCCATGAGAGTGATCTCATCAGAACTGGCCCGATCCTCTCTTCTGATGCATTTCAGGTGCGCACGTCTTGCTCTTACTGGATTGATTTCTTTCCTTCAGCAGGCTTTTATGCCCTCTGGTCTACGAGGCAGCTACCAGCTAACAGCAGTGAGCTGTTACTGCAGGAAGGTGGTACCTTTACTCCTCAGGAGAGGGCCGTGCTGGCCAGCTTGCTGTTACTGCAGCAAGTGTCTGGGGAGAAGTCTGCCTGGGCTTGCGTTTGAGAGGTTTCAGACCAGGCCTGTCCCCATTGCTGCAGGTCTACAGGAAGTTAGCATGCAGGCACACAGAGCTGCAAACCATGCTCTTCATAGCCAGGTGTGAAAAAGGAGACCGATCACAATCTCAGGGACCGAAACTTCCCTTTTCAAGACCCCCCATGGTGTGATCATGGTGTGACCAAGGTTTTAACACCTGAGCTTTTGGGGCAACATTTAAGACCCAAACCATAGCACAGGTTTTGACTGAGGACTAACCATAGAGGTTTCCAGTAACTTGGTGCTGTTCAGCTCTCCTGAGTTCTGAGTTCTTTTTTTTTTTTTTTTGTATAGGGAATTGAACTTAGGACCTTGCACTCTCCAGGTAGGCACTTATGCCACTGAGCTATATCCCCAGGCTCTCACCTGAGTTCTTAGGAGGACCTCTGAGTAAGGGTATGGAACCCCTGAATGCTAATACTTGGGCTTTCCCAGCTAACTTTTCTCTGAGCCTTAATAGGGTAATTTTGCCTGTGATTTGCATAGTGTATGAGTCTTCTTTTTGTCATTGTGATAAAATACCTGAGGCAATCAATTTATTTATTTTTTAAATGTTTTTATTTAGAGAAAAAAGCAAAACAGGAAAAAGAGTAGAAATAATATAGAATTTTAAAAAATAACAGTAAGAAATCACTAGTGAATAAATTATATATTGTTATCTTAGAAGTAGTTGTTTAAAAAATTTTGTTACAAAATCAAAGCATAAAAAGTGGACAGACAAATAATGACAGTACAAACTATTATGTTTGATAAACTAACAAAAACTTAGTAATATGATTATCTATCTTGCACACTGAAATATATATACAGTTACAGCCTTTAGAGCACTTTCTTTCCCTTTCACTATTGCAATCTCTATTATACATTTTGGATTGTATTACTCTTTTAGTTTTTATGATTATTTTTATACTAGAAAGACAATATGATATTTAGAAATATGAGTGTGATTTATTTCACTTATGAAGATAGACTCAAGTTGCCTCCATTTACCTATAAAAGCCTCAAGGTCATCCTTTATAGCTGTGTAATATTCCATTGTATAAAAATACCACATCTTTTTCATCTGCTCTGAGGTTAATGGGCATTTTGATTGTTTCCAAGATTTAGCTATTACAAATCGCGCTGCTGTGAACATTGGTGCACATATATCACTATGACATGACCTTTTCAATTTTTCTGGGAAAATACCCGGGAGGGGAATAACTGGATTGAATGGAACTTCCAATCCTAGTTTTTTGAGGAATCTTCATATTGATTTCCACAGTGGCTGCACCAGTCTACACTCCCACCAGCAATGGAGAAGGGTTCCTTTTTCCCCACAGCCTTGCTAACAGAGGCAATCAGTTTACAAGGAGGGGAAAAGGGAGGGAAGGTTTATGTTGGCTTACAGTTTCAGAGGTCTTAGTCTGTGGTCACTTGGCCTTGTGGCTTTGGGCCTGTTGTGTAGTGTGTAGGAATGTGTAGTGCAGGATGCAAAAAGAGAGACAGGAAGGGGCCATGTCTCAGCATCCCCCGGAAGGCCACACCCGCAGGGGACCAGCTTTCCTTCACTAGGCCACATCCCCCAGGACTCCACCACTTCCCACTGGTGCCTCATGCTAGCAGCCAGGCCTTAGATACTGGGCCTTCAGGGATGCTCCCATCCAATCTGCAGCGCAATAGTACTGGCAGGTCAGCTGTCCCTCTGCGTCTTCTTTGCCCATGTTAAATGCCTGCTGCTCATTAGGGCAGATGAGTCCCACCTCAGGAAAGCTCCGAACCAGTGTTCCTGGAGTGCATCTGTTTCCTGGATCTGAGATGTTTCTCCTAGTGTGGTCCTAATACTATGTCCTAGCGCAATTCTACAGCAACCTGCATTTTTAGTTATGAGTCCTCCTGCATTTGAGTTTTGATGTTCTCTGTGGTTGGCAGAAAACTGCTCTTTTTAGTCTATTGGATGCTGACCCTTGTAGAACCCTGCCCACACCTGTCCCCCTGAGTTTGCCTCTTCTTGCTTTTGTGTTCTTCTTCATCACCCTCACTAACACTGTTTGTGCCCACCCAGCCCACATTTTCTGGGTGCCTGTACTTGCCGTGTCCCAGAGCTTACTGTGGAGAGAAGAAAACAGGAAATAGTTTGGTTTGTCACAGAAGGGAGAGTGCTGAGAGAGCAGGGGACAGATTATTTTACAATCTTCTAGAGATTCTTCTAGAGCATGACCATGCCCCCTGTGGTGAGGAGGTCCTCTGACAGCAGGGACAGCTAAGCTGAGACCTGAAAGGGGAGGTCAATGAAGAGCTTGTGCAAAGGTCAGGGGAGACCACACAGGAAAGCCCCCAGAACTCACATGCTCTGTGCTCAGTGCTGAGCTCTTGGTAGCTCAAGGCGCTTGCCTGGACCTTGTGGAAGAGAAGAGGCCACTCAGGGCCTGCATCTCACCTCAGGTTTCAGCCCTCAGTGGGAAAGGTGGAGCAAACTGGTTATTCACTCCCTGGGTTGCACTCCCTTCTGGGAACCCCTTCTCCCTCATTCTGCATGCTTCTCTGGTTAATCCTGCTGGCCTGTAGTTTCAGCCTCAGGCAATTAATTATAATGGTGGTGGATGGGTGAAAGTGAGTCATTAACCTTAGGGTCACCTCAGCTGCCTTTGGGAGACAGACTAGCACTGATAATTTAGTTCCTCAGGCTGTTTATCCTCAAATCTCAAGGAATAGTATCTTCTAGGACTGAAGGGACCTAGGGTTGAGGGAGCTGATAGGAGAGGAAGAAAAAGGTGAACTGTTCCAGACGATGCCTCTGCCCAGGCTCCTGGCCTGGGACAAGTACAGGGTCCACTTGTACTTTCTCCTGCCGTTCTAATATGCAGTGAAGTCGCAGCAGCCGAGTGTCGTGTGTGTAGACTGAATCGTGATCACCCTTGGGTTCTTTCCAGTAACACGCTCCATGATAGCTGGGCCCTCCCAATGTTAAAAATTCTGATATTTTCGTTATGAAATAAGGATGTCTTCAGAAGCCAGGGAATGAGGGGGAGGTTTCTAAAGCCGCTATCATTTAGATAATTTGATGTGATTATTTCTATGGCAGGTCTAGAGATTACCATGTGTGTTAATGTTTGGCTCGGTTTATCACTCACCCTCTTTGTATTTTACTTCTTTCTTTCCTAAGTTTTGCTCATTCTTGCTTAGTAGGCAAAAGGTGAGTCATCTCAATGTGACAGGATGTCACTTGTGTGGCCGCATTTGCTGGGGTGAGGAAATTGGTCATACCATGTAGTCCTGGGCAACATGCAAAATTATCTAAGTGCTATTTGCTGGCTTAGATTCCCTCATCTTTGTTTCAGTTTTTAAAAAAATATTGGCTGACCAGATTAGTGGGGTTCATTTTGCAGATTCATGATGCACATATGTACTTTGGTTATTTTTACCTCCCATTCCTCATCTTTTCTTTGCTTGCACATGTAGAAATTGTTTGGTGAAAAGTTTTTTTTTTTCTTTTTTAGACAGGGCATCACTATATAGTTCAGGCTGGCCTCAAATTGTGACAACCCTCCTTCCTCAGCCTCCCAAGTGCTGGGGTTGCAGGGCTGTGCCACCATGCCTGACTGGAAAGCATTTGTTTTGGAAAAGGAATTGATTTCAGAGAGGTGCTAGTATATATATAAAGAAGTGGTTGGAAGATAAACTGTATAATGAATCATATGTAATTATGCAAATATGCGAAAAGATCAAGTAGACTAAAAGCTCTAGCATTTACGAAAAGTCCCATTTCACCTGCTCACAGTCTTTTCTTGACTGTCCACTGGTGTCGCTGTCTGAGGTCCTTTTGCTTTGCTTCTGCAGGAAGGCAGTGACTTTCTGACAGTGACTCAGAGTTCCCAGAAGGAATGTCGAGGGTGTGGGGTCTTTGGAAAACAAATATCCCTGTTATGCAAAGCTGGACTTTTAGAGAGATGCCCGATGGATGCTTCCTTTGTGGTCTGCGCCAGGTCAGCTGCCCTGCGCTGGGTCCTGGTCCCCATACCTGGCCCGTGCTTCTCACAGTGCTCTGTTCTCCTGTGTGTCTTTCAGTACATCCGCACTTCCTATGACACCAGGATGGATCATCTGTTACATTTGATGCTGGAAGAGTGGAAGATGGAGTTGCCCAAGCTGGTGATCTCTGTCCACGGAGGCGTCCAGAACTTTAAGATGCCCTCCAAGCTTAACAAGGTCTTCAGCGAGGGTTTGGTCAAAGCCGCGGAGACGACGGGAGCGTGGATTCTGACGGAAGGCGTCAACATGGGTAAAGGCTTGTCTGCCCACTCCTTCCCGCTCTCCCTCACTATCTCTCCCCTCCCTTCTTCTCTCTCCTTCCTTCCCTTATGAGCTAGGCAGTATGGCACCAAATCCCTCCTCTGCTGCACTCCCAGAAAACAGGATGGTGTCAGAAAGGACAAACAGAGTGACAGGTGCTTAGAATCTAAGTCCAGAAGAATCCCAGGCCTTTCCCTAAATGTGCTTCCCTCTTTGTCAAAATAATCTCATTTCAATATAACTTCGAGTAAACTTTGGTTAAGCAAATAGTGTGTCTTGAGCTTTAGTCCACTAGTCCAACACTCCTGAGAGCAAGTGACCTCTGAAATGGAAGGTTTATTGTGCCATTGCAGACGCCAGCCAGGAAAGGACTTGGTTCCTTGTTGAGCTCTGGAACTACTAGCAGAAGGGCTGGGGAGCAGTTGGAAACGTGTCTGTTGAGCTAAGGCAAGGGCAATCAATCTTACAGTGAAATGTTGGGAGAAGGAAGTTGGTTACTGGCATTGAGCTCCTATCAGCTGCAGATAAGAGATGCGGATGACTTGAAGGGAGGAGGGGGCAGCCCATGCAAGCTGCTTCTGGTTTGGTTGGGGACAGCAATGTGGCACTTGGCCACCCACCTACGGTCTTGGATCAACACATGTTAAAGAGTATGGACCAGGTTTTTGTTGTTGTTGGTTTCCATTTTTATCTATTAACTAATTAATTTCTCGTATCTTTTCTCCCTTCTACGCTTCTGTTTCATTTCTGCAGCAGAAGCTGCCTGCAGCCCCTGTTTTGTATCTGTATTTGTCAGAAAAGTTCGTGAACCAGCTCTCTTGTCTGGGAGTGGGCTGGAGGCAGGACTAGGCTTTTACTAAGGTTGGCGTGGCGACATGTACCCATTCGACAAGTCCCTTTGGCTAAAAAAGAAATGAAGAAAGCCAATGACAGACAAACCGCAAAAACAAAGTAAAACTCCAAAACAAAACCAAAATAAAGCCTAGGGATTCAGCCTGTCACTGTTAGGTAACATTGTAATTCATCTTGTCCATTGAATAGACTGAACTGGCAGCCCTGAGCCCATTGTATAGTACTTATTTTATTTCCAGTAGAAAAGGGTTGAGGTGGGGTAGGTTTTGTAGAGGTAAGAACAAGGTACACTTGGACGGAGCTTTCTCTTTGAATAACTAATTGCATTTCATACTTTACTTAACATTTTTAAAAAAAGAAACTGTAGCCTAGGACCAGCTAACTTCAAGGGACCCTTATACAGTAGTATGCAGATGATTAAAGTAGTTAGCGTGAGCAAAACAATGGGGAATGAGGAGGAGCACTTGGAGCTTCTCTAATCTGCAGGCAGTTTGCCTAATTTATGCCCAGGTCCTCCAGGGCCTGACGATTTGAGGAGAGGGCCCTGAACCAGCAGCAGCCTCCACCTGCAGAATTAGAGCTCCCCTTTTTAACAGCCACCCTGGAAGATCCTGGTGCACATTTAAATTTGAGAGGCTCTGCTTATGAGCTCTGCCTACCCTTGAGATGATTCTTAGCTATAATTGAACATAATTGGGCATGACGATCAAATCAAATGCCAGCAGCTTTCAGCAACTGCCTTGTGAGAAGCATTTCAGTAGGTGCCGTGGAGCAAAGATTAGTAACAGGAGCTCTAGGCAAGGGACAGGAGTGGTCTGGGACAGGTGGCCAGAAGGCGAATAGCTAGATATGGATGCTGACTAGCTTGTGTTTGAGGTACACAGCGTTTGGGGAGTGCTAAGGAGAGGGAGATAAATCACAGTTTGAGTTTAAGGCAGTTGAGGGCTGGGTGAAGGAGATCAAAGCTGGCATTGGTCTCGAGCAGGATGGAGGTGGAAGCCTATTGTTAGACACTCATCCAGAGACTGAAGCAGGTGTTGAAAGAGAGATAAGGCTATTGCCTATGGTGTCATCCTGTGTCAGGGACAGCAAGGGAGCCCCGGCCAGATTGGGTGCCACTGCATGATGAGTTGGCATTATTATCCGTGTGGCAGAAGACCCTCGAAGGCTTTTGAATGAGGAGAATGAGTAGGGGAGTGATACGGTCATTTTGCAGAAGTCAGCAGGGAGCTTACATTGTGATCCCAGCAGATCCAGTGGCAGCAGGGACAGCAGCAAGCCGGGTGAGCCAGGCATTCACCTGGCTTAGAAATTCACTCGAGAATCGCAATCTTTATTTGAGTGGATCACCCCAAGTTGGGGTTGATCTGCTTCTGTGGTTATAATCTCGATTCTGGAGATAGTCATCTGGAGATGGGCAAGGTTTAGGTGGTGGCTGGGAGAGAAGCTGCCAGGACCTGATCTGGGCACTCTGCATTAGGTACGTGCAGTCTGCAGGGTCCTCATCTGTGCTACTGTCGTGGAGAACCTGAGACTGGTCCTTGGTAAATAATAGAAATTTATCCTCTCACTGTTCTGGGGGCTGGGAAGTCCAGGATCGAGGCACCTACATCTGACATGAGCTTTCTGGCTGTGTCCTCACATGGTAAGCATTGGAAGGCAAGAGGGAGCAAACACACCCAGAAGCTCTTTCCATAGGTGCATCGTTTAAAAACATGGTGGTCCTGGGGAGTAGAGACCTCCTGTGTGGTTTGGAAGGGGACTCATTCAAGCCAAGGCAGTGTCATTTCTTTCTGGGCTAATGACACACATCCAATCATTACTAGGTGTAGGAAGAATTAGGCCTAATAGTGCAGTGTTGGAATGAACTACAGGTTAGATTAGGTCAGAATCAAAAGGCTGTGTACTGTGTGATTCCAACTATGTGACAATTTGGAAAAGAGCTATGGAAATGGTGCTGGGGTCAGTGGTTGTCAGGAGTTGACATGGAGGGAGGACGAGAAGAAAGAGGACTTTCAAAGGCAGCGAGATAGTTTGGTGATGCTACTGCGGTGGGAGCGTTCACTGCACAGTCGTCAGCACATAGAATACTGAACACCAACCGTGAACCTCATGTAAACCGAGCCCTCTGGGTGGTAATAGCCTGTCTGTACCACCCAGAGAGTCATTGCTTATGTAAAAGGCATTGTTCTGGCAGGAGATGGTGTTGGGAGGTTGTTTTTATGTACTGAGAATTCTCTGCACCCTCTGTTCAACCTAAAACTACCCGGAAAATAGTCTATTTTTAAAAAATGTCAGATTACTTAGATGGTTATCTAATTTCCACAAATAACCAAATGACCTTAGATAAGTTTTTGGCTTCTTTATGCCATCATTTTTGTCTATAAGATGGACCAAAAGAATGTTCTTGCTTAAAGTGTAAATACATATAAAGCTAGCCAACGCTTACTGACAGCTTACAACACTTCCAGTAAATGGCAGTTACTACAATTCTTGTTAAATCGTTAATCCCAGAGGGTGAGGAATACATTGCTTTTTAATATAATAAGTCTGCAATACTGGTGTATATAGAGTTATTTTGTTAGTTTGCTTTAATCAGTCAAGGAAGGATCTTTTGCTGAGACATTGGAAATTACAGATCAAAATACTCAGAACATTCCTGACTTCAGGGCTGGGCTCACTGAGAAAAGATAATGTGTAGAAGATTCTGCTCAAAGAAGAGCAGGATCAGAACTGAGCCTCTAAGCAGCAATTGTCCAAAGGGAGACTGAGGTCCAGAGGTCAGTGATAAGAAAAAGAGGTGTGAAGAGGGAATAGAAGAGGCTGAGACATCAGAAACCAATGTTGCTGTGCCAGGGACTCTTCCTTCAGAATGACCTTTTGGATATACTTGTCTGTGAGTTTCTTTCTGAACCACTATTTTACATTGATTAGGGTGAGTTAAAATTTGACTTCTGTACTGGTCGTTCATAGGAGTTTCCAAGCATGTTGGGAATGCCCTGAAAGCTCATTCCTCTAAGTCCTTGAGAAAAATCTGTACAGTTGGAATTCCTCCTTGGGGCGTCATTGAGAACCAGAGAGATCTTACTGGAAAAAATGTAAGTAGACAACCCTTTCACAGCCAAATGTCCTTGTGACATTGTCCCTGGATGTCTAATAGACACCTCAAATGTAATATACTTGAAACCAACTCCAGCCTTGTGACCACGTCCCTCACCCTATTTTATGCATTTATTTTTAATTTCCTTTTTTCATCCATTTATGTTTGTTATACGTAATAGTCACATTGACCTTGAGGAACTGGCACAGGTACACATCCAACCTTTCTCACTTTCTCTTTCCCTTTCTTTCCCACTCTTTCATCTCCCTCCATTTCTGGATCCTCCTTCCCATCTCCAGGAAGGCTGCCTCTGGCTTTCTGTCAGCTCTCTTTTTATTTTGCTTTTGAAATTATCTATATTTTGGGTTTTTAATGTAAGAGAAACTATGTGATATCTAACCTTCAGCGTGTGATTTATTTCACTTGGTATTGTGGTCTCAACAACATAAATCTAGTTTTCTACCAATGACTCAAATGAATCCTCTTTAGTGTTGAGTAGTACTCACTCAGTTTTAGAACACAACGATCCAATCTCGAGGTTGCTCAAGCCAGTGACATCTGATTAACCCTCTTGGTCTCAGGCCTCAAAATAATCCATCAGCAAACTATCTTAGCTCCACTTTCAAAATACAGCCATAATCTGACTTCTGATTGCTCCCACTGTTAGCGAGAGGGTCCAAGCTGTCGTTATCTGACGTCTAAATGATGGCTACCTTTCCCCTCTTATTCTTCTGTTGCAGTTTATGGTAGCCAGAATGATTCTCTGAAATATTAATAAACATTATGCCTTTTTTTGTAAAACTCGTAGATGGCTCCTCTTTGGCAAATAGCCAATATATCTGCAAAGTTCTGCACGTAGTAAAACATACCCTTCACCTGGCTCTGCCTAGTTCTTTTCCTGTGCCGTGTGTTACTTTCTGCTTCATTCATTTGCGAGTGTTAGAACCTGTCTGCGCATTCCTCAGTGGGCTTGGCTAGGTCTGTTGATAAGACATACATGCTTTTATCAAATAATAGAAAAGATACAAAGAACAAAAGTAATGGCTCTTAATATTTTGATGTGTTTTCATTCCAAAAGTTTTTCTCCATATACCTCTTATATAGAGAGCTGAAAATGCATATTTTAAAAAAAGTAACACTAGAAACTCAATACAAACTTGCCTTTTTTTTTTAGCTTAACTTTATCACAGTTATTTCTCTATGCCAGCTAATGTAGACATTCTTATGGTGTATTTACATTTTTTATTTTAGGGATTTTCAAGCCTATTAAATAGTAGAGAGGTTAGAAGAAGACTTCCTGTGTCCTATCTTCCAGCTTCAGCATTTGTGACAGTGCCAATTTTACTTCCTCTGTCCTCTCCTCCTTTCCGACAAACCCTCATTATCTTGAGGCAACTTCCAGATATTAAATAACTTCATCTAAATATTTTAGTAGGTCTTTCTAAAGGATATGAACAATTTAAGAAAATATAAGGAAAGAGGGTTCAAGGGAGGGGAGGGGAATGGGGAAGAAAGGCAATTAAGATATGTTATCTACAGGTACAAATTCCCTATGATGAATATGATCATTATAAATGGCAAATATGTAGTAATAAAAAATAATAACAAAGAGAAAGTGTGTCACCCTTGAGACCTGGCAGAATTCTTTTTCAAAAAAAAAAATATACATAATTCTCTCTCTCTCTCTCTCCATATATGAAATCTCTCCGTATATGAAATCACAATGCTGTTATTATGACTAAAAATTAACAATTCCTGTGTATCATTAGTAAATCCTGATTACCATCAACTAATCAAGTTTTTACTTTTGATACTTATTTTGTTGTTGTGTTTTCCTTATGAAGTGGCTTTTTACACCCGTGGGTTTCTCAGGGTGTCTCATAGTTTTTAATAGCTTATTTGTGCAAAAATGTTCCATACATTGTGATGTGTTAATAAATAGGGGTTCTTTTTTTTTCTTAAAGGAGGAAAGATTTAATTTAGCTCACAGGGTTAATAGTTTTTTTATTCACTTTTTCATTGAATTTTATTTTTTTCCTCCTAATTAGTCCTTGTTTGTAGTATATAATCACATTCATAAGGAGTTGGTACATGTATATAACACATCTTAATTGTTTTTGCCCTCTCTCTCCCCTTCCTTCTATCTCTTGGACTCTTCCCATATGCAATATAATTGGCCCAGCACTCAGTTCTCCTCCAATAGGCTGCTGTACTGTTAATGTCACAAAGGTAACCTGAGTATTAGCGTTCAAGGCAAACTAGCTAATAGTAACAACTGTACCACCCTGGCAATTATCAGGTAAATCAGCAGCAGTGATATCATCCAAGACAAACTGGGTGTTTACACACCAATGTACTTAATGACTTGCCACCTTTAACCTTAGAGAGCCATAATTACAGTGTGAACAGGAAGACAAATCAGATAGTGACATATAGTAAACCGCTACTAAACGCGATAACCGTGCCTCCACAGATGCTGGAAAAAATTTTAATGATAGTACTGTAGAGCTCTCTATCTAAAGATTGTTAAGGCTTAATGGTTACACTGTTCATGATATAGAGGGTCAGGGATGGGAGGATGCAAGAGGGAAAATTTGAAAAATTAAACAATGGGAGATGAGAAACAAAGTGAGACAAAGGAGTAGCAGGTTATTTAGAGAATTAAAGATAACGGGGGTGGGGGTGGGGGTAGGGGGGAACACCAGCAAGAAACAGAAGGTAAAACAAAAATGGGAGATAAAAAGAAATACCACGGATAAAAAGTAGAAAAAAATGAAAGAGAAAGGCAAAAGAAAAAAGGATTAAGAAAAACAAGCAAGAAGAAAAAAACGTGACAAGGCTGGGCCCTGGCCTTGCAGGGAACTCGCACTTTGGGGGCCCCCTTCAGCAGCAGCTCGCCAAGAAGAGAGAACTCTGCCAGGTCCTTCTGGCCTCGAGCAAGGAATTGGATGAGATAAGCCAAAACCGGTGCCAAAAGTTTATTTGGAAAGTGAGGGATGAAGGGGCAAGGGAGAAACTGGCTCTGCAGAGCAAACGGGCTGAACAAGAGAAAAATGAATAAAAAGAGAAAAAGCACAGCTTGTGTCCGGCAGACACAAAACATACTACCGTGAGAAGTCAAGAGCACTTCCCTAGCCGCAGTGTGTCCTTATATACTGTCCAAAACTCGTGAGAGCTCGCGAGAAGTTCCACATCCGGGCTCCTGGGAATTATTTGGTGCTGTCCTGGGGGCTGGATGGGTCCGCTTTATTTCTCCAGCCAGCTGTGCCAACCATGTCTCCCACATCAATGTGGTGGGCGCCTGTGCTGGAATCCCTCTGGGGCTGTTGCAGAAGGAGTCCCCTGGGGGCAGGAAACCCTGGCAGTTTTCGCAGCTCCCAACAGCCCAGGGCCCTGCGCCCTTTCTTCCAGGATCTCCCAGCCCGGGGCGCTCCCCTGGGGGCTGGGTCGAGCCTCTGTGGAGCCGGGTTTTTGGTGTTGTTTTGACCACCTTGCTAAGCAGCAAGTGTTACTCTCTGAGCTGAGCAGGGTCTGTAAGGCCTCGCTCTGACCTCTTTGGTCCCTCAGGTGGTGTGCATGTACCAGGCGCTGGGGAACCCCATCAGCAAGCTCACCACCCTCAACTGCATGCACTCCCACTTCATCCTGGCTGACGATGGCACCGTGGGCAAGTACGGGAATGAACTGAAGCTCAGGAGGAACCTGGAGAAGCACCTGTCCCTGCAGAAGCTACACAGCTGTGAGTGGTGGGAGGGCCTGGCAGGAGCGAGGTGCTCTGTCCTCTCCTGCGTGATGTACCCTGGGAGATTCGGTCACAGGGTGTGGTCCCCAAGCAGCAAGAGACCAGGGTGAAAGAGGGTGCAGCACTGTGGGTGACAGCGTGAGAGAGGGAGAAGTCTTTGGGGGATAGTGTAGTGAGGAGAGGCTCCCGGGAGTTCTGGAGTCCAGCTGCATAGAAGGAAGGAGGAGGGAGGGTTGGATGGAGGAGCCTTTTCATATGCTGGTGGGGTGGAAGGGGTTAAAACTGATGGGGCTTCTGCAAATAAGCTGGGGGAGATGATTGTCCAGGTTGCATGAGGCTCACAGAGGAGCCTCAAGGCAGTGGTCTTGGGCTGGGGTTGGTAGAGCACTTAGGAGGGGGTAGGAGAGGCTGCTTGATCCTGAGAACTGTAAACAAAATAAAGCAGAACTAAATAAGAAACAAACAAACAAACAAACAAAAAACCCCCAAGAGTAATGAAATAAGTACCATCTAAATTAAAAGAAATGTTTTTACTTTGATCCTTAAACGACACCCCCACTGCAGTTAGCTTTTGTGTGATGATATTATTAGCGTACCCATGTCTGTCAGTTTGTAGATCCTAAGCTTGCTTTTTCATGTTATAGAGAAAATAAATCAGGAGGTGGAGGTGACTGAGAAAGCAAAGGGAAAAGGATATCAGTGCAGTTAAATAGGTGGGATTAGGTGTATGGGTGCCGCCCCAGCCTGTGTGGATTCTGGGGCTGTCTGTGTAAGTGGTTTACAAGCTTCAGATCAAGCTATAAAGTGCTTCACTGCCTCACACTGACACGTGAACGGGGAAGACCAGGTTAGGTTCACGGGTCCTGGATTTGGGGCCGTGCTGAGAGCATGACTGCCACCGTACCTGCCTCTGCTTCTCTGTCTGCTTCTGGCTCAGTCCTGTGTACCAGGTGGGCCACACACTCGATCACTCTGTCACTCCCCTTCTGAGTCACAGCTCCATCCCTGCCTCTTGTTGTGATGAGAAGACATACCCAGACAGAGGCTGATGGGTCCCTCTAAGTAAGACTTGGAGCCTTAACTCCAGGAAGAGCAGAGAGGGGTGCAGACTTCCACTGAACGGGCCTAGTGGACTCCTCTCTGTGAGTGGGGGGTAGGCAGGGAAACAAATGTAGCGTGGGCCCTTGATGCATGACCCTGAGCTCAGTTCCGTATGGCTCAGTGCAAGTAGGGAGTAGGGCATTGCCTGCCAATTTTTCCTCTTTGCAAAGCAAAAAGTAATATATTAAGGGGCTGAGTATAGCTCAAGGTCCTGAATTTGATTCCTAGTATCAAATAAAATAAAATAAAATAAAATAAAATAAAATAAAATAAAACAATATGTTAATGCACATGTGGTGTTAAATTTAAGTAAGAAAACTGTAAGATGAACAAAGTCCCTTTACAACATTTCTCCAAATCCCCCATCTTCTGTTGTTACAGTTTGATGTATGCTCATCCAGAATTATCTGGAGGTTTAGACAACATGCTATGCATGTGGCTGTGTACATACAGCATAAAATATATAGCCACGTATAGGTTTTTGAAAATATTGTAATCCCAAGTATTATATACGGTCATCCAACTATTGTAATCCTTTTTTTAGTTTTCCTCACAATCCAAAAAGTTATATTTGTAATCCCATTGAGATGTTATTGGAATCCCAACGAGTTAATTCCAATCTACCACCTCCAGTGCATCCCACAGCGAGAGTAAATACACCAAGACATAGTCCAAGTTAAGGGCAGCCAAGGGGTCCTGAGTCTAGGCCTCGTGAGGACACAATCCTAGGCCTCTCCCAGCATTTATTATCTTGTGAAGAAGTGGGTGGCTCAGGAATGAGTGACAGTGAGGATGGCGGGAATTACGTGAATAACTCGAGCTGTCTGGCCAGGTGGTAGAAAAGCATCTCTGCAAAATGCAGGGAGAATGATATGTAGAAGAATCAATTCACTTAATCCAATTAAGGTAGTAACTAAGTTGTTTTAGGAGGCTGTTGCTTCAGTTTCTGATATGTAAACTCTTGTGCCCTGGGGAGTCATAACCTCTTTACCTTGAGGCTCATACCCAGCTGACATTCCCGGAGCTGTTAGAAGCTGTTAGCTCTAACATCCCAGAGGACACTATTCTGAGGAAACAGGAGTCTATCTGTCAGCTTTTTTTTTGTACCAGGGTTTGAACTCACAACCTGGTGCTGGCAGATGTTTATGCTGCTGAGCTAAATCCCCAGCTGTCTGTTATATACCAGGACCTCAGCTGGCTTATTTGCAATGCTTAGAGCCACTTGAAGAGAGAAGGAAATATCATAGCCAGCTCTCTAAGTATCAGTATAAGGAAGTAAGTCTCCAAATGATCAAAGTTGCAGCAATTGTTTTGCATTCAAGGGGAGACACTTGTAATCCCAAGTTGTTGGCCACAGAAAATATAAATGAAATGTATTATACATATCATTCTGTAACTTTTCCTCACTTAGTATCTTCTTTTAAGAGCAAGGCTCCATGGTGTTCCTTTTATTTGGTCTTCCTTGCTCTAATAAAGTAATACATGATCATGATAAAAAATATGAATAAATAGTAAAATGGAGTCTGCTAAAATGCAGTATATTGTAAAAGTTTTTGAAGGCTGTCTAGCCTGTCTGATTCCTAAAAATACTTATCATTAAAACTTTATGGAGGGCTGGGGATAGGGATACATGGTGGAGTGCTTGCCTGGTGTGCAAAGTCCTGAATTCAATCCCTAGGACCGCCCCCTGCCCTCCCAGGAAAAATTTATTGAATTGGCAAGGAGTTGAATGTTTTTGGGAATGACTGATGGGTACATTGGAGTCCATTATATAGTGTTTGCTTTGAGATAAATTTGGGATTTCCCACAGTGAAAAGTAAAACCAGCTAGGGGCAGTGGCACTTTCCTGTCCTACAGCAAGAGGAATTGCAAGCCGGGGCAATTGAGTGATTCAGAGCCTGTAGGGGGCTGGCGAAAGAGCTTGGCGATGTAGGTCGGTGGGATTAATCCTTAGTATTAAGGAGGTGGAAGCTTGGCAAAACCTTGAAGATATCCTCACCATATGCAAGTTCTTGGCTTGGTCTTGATCTAAGCAGACGTGGGTGAAGTAAGAGAAACGTGGCCAGAGTTGGCAGGGGCAGTGCGTGGCCATTCAGAGACTTGTGCTCAGAGCTCCAAGGATCGACTGGCTGACCCCAGGTGGGGGGGCTTCACAGCCGCATGGTGCTTATCCTTTGTGTCTGGCACAGGCTCAAGACAAGGCGTGCCCGTGGTGGGGCTGGTGGTGGAAGGAGGCCCCAACGTCATCCTCTCGGTGTCAGAGATGGTGAAGGACAAACAGCCCGTGGTCGTGTGCGAAGGCACAGGCAGAGCCGCCGACATCCTGGCCTTCACCCACAAGCACTTAGTGGATGAGGGGTGAGTGTGGACACTTCCTTCTGGACACTTCAGTGACACCGTCCCCTGTTTCTGTTCTTCCAGGTGGGCCTTCGTGTGGGTCGCATATCCTCAAGGACAGGGCTTGAGCTTGGAGTCTGTTTTTCAGGGACAGTATTGCTCTATTTCTCTGCTAGGATACCATGTCCCCAGTGAAAGAGGAGACAGTAACATTGGCTTCCTAAGGGGCTGGGGATTTAGCTCAGTGGCCTAAAGCACCTGCCTGGCATGTGGGAAGTCATGAATTCAATCCCCAGCACCACCAAAAAAACTAAACGAAACAACCAAAACACATTGGCTTCCTAGAGCCCCCCACCAGCTCTGCCCCTCATGCTTCAGTGTGCAGCTCACCTTCGGATTTATTTGCCGTTAGTAAAAGTGGCAGGTTGTGTTTATTTCCAGCTTTGAATCGTTTTCTTTTTCAAAGATGCTGTTTCTCTAGCCATTCTTATAGCCAGTCTGCATCTTCTGGCATTGAGAGCACGGTGTTTACACTGTGTAAATACAGCGCCTGGGAGCCGGAATGGTGCGTCCACTTGTTTAGGCAGTAAACATTTATTTGCTGCTTATGTTCTATCAGCTTTCTGGGATCCCTTTCCTTACTCTTTCTCCCACTGTAGCCCTCAGCCCTCCACCAGTCTGCTTGTGTCTCCCCCATTCCTGGATCTCACCCGTTCCTGTGTCTTACCTGTTCCTGTATCTCACCTGCATCTCACCTCTACCTATAAAGGCATCCCTAGAAGTATATCTCTACCCCTCTCTTTTCTCATTCCTCCCTCTTCTACAACCCCCTTGCATGTGTGGTTTTTAGGGTCCACATTTTTCTGAGACCATGGCTCATCTTCTGAGCCCCTGCTTTTGTTTGCTTCCGGCTCTGTTGTGTCCGGCAGAACTGCCCACAGCAACCTCCCCGAGAGGTGGGTGGGCTGCCTTGTGCTGCTGTTGCTGGTTTTGTCCCTTGCCTGGCTTGTGTCTGATTGTGACCGTTTATTTCTGTGCCAGAAGGCTGTGTGTCCAGGTAAAGGAGAAGATCATCTCTATGATTCAGAATGCTTTCAACTTCAGTCTCAAACAGTCCACGCACCTTTTTAAGATTCTAATGGAGTGTATGGCCCACAAGAATTCTGTGAGTATTATGACTTGATCACTCAAATCTACTAAAAAAAATGCCAGTTTCCCAGAAATTACAATTTCAATCTTCATGACCTTTAAAATACAGGCCTTTCCCATTTTGCACATGAATAGCTGTAATTCTCTAGCTGTTGTATAGAAATTGATGCTCATATGAATGAACTTTGCTTGCTACTGTTCAACCCCTCCTGTACCCTTTTTGCTTCAAATTCCAGACTGCATGTGATGCAGCGTTAGCACTTAGGATAAAGACAGCATTACAGAAATATTGTCAAACTTCGCGTAAATTGTATATAATATTTGCAGAGTAAGTGAACAGCCCCAGGTCGTCCATGCACCGAAGTCTACCAGGTTCCAGACTCCTGAGTAAATCCTGTAGGAGGGCATTGGGAATGTTTTAAACAGTGGGAAGTGTGAGAATAAAGGCCGGAGTAGAAAATGGAGCCCACAAACTCGGCTGTGACTCAGTTTGGAAAGCGTTTAAGGTTGAGGTACTATGGGCAACATTTTTATTCATGGCTTAGATTATGTGAAGCTGAAATTCAAGGTGATCTTTCTGGAATTGGGAGACTGGACACATTATTCAAGGAATATTGGTAATATTATAATATCCAGTTTTAAAAAGCCAATTGAACAAGACCAGGCTAGACGAAGCAGGCAAAGCACACAGGAAAACCAGTAGGTGACTTTTATTGACATATAATAGTTATAGAGAGCAACAACCACCATGCGTGTAATTAGCAATGTACTTTTGAGGATATTTCTTCACCTGAAATAAACGCACAAATGAGTTTAACATGGCAGTGGTTGATCTCTAGTTCAGAGAAACTGAGGACAAGAGAGTAGAGGTGATTTGCACAGTCCTGTAGTGAGAGAATGGTAGAAGTGAAATTCAAGACCAGAGATGGAATCTTGTTCTTAGCCCACTACACTTTATGTTTTTCACAATGGTGCAAATTAAGTGAGTTAAGATGAGGCCCTGTTCACCTCCCCTCCCTGGTAAGTGGCGGCAGTGTGGGCCACTGCAGCCCTTCCAAGGGGAGAACCAGCAGTGTCTCCTGAGATCCACGCCATGTTGGAACTGAGGACGCTGTGAAAACAAATGACCATCCTGCCTCCCTGCTTAGCAATAATGAACCTACTGCTACATGGCCTAGAGTCAAATATCCCCTTCCCCTATCCTCCTTCTCCCTCCCCACCCCCGCCCATTAGCAAATGGGAACCAGAAATCTGAGCATCTCCTGGGAGGTTGGCCATAGCAAATAAGGGGGATTTCCTTCGACCATTTCTTTGAAGGCAAATATTTTTATTACTGTTTTGCTCTTTTCTGATTAATGGTACTGCTCTATTCAATATTCTGTTTTGATAAGTTCTGTAGTGTTCTATATTTCATCTCATTTTGATATACGTGATTGAAAGAACAACTATTCTAAAGATACCAAAATATACTGTGATACCTATTACTGTTATCCTGGTAACCTGCTGTGAAGTTCTGTACCAATTTCACTGTATGATCTTAGTTGGCTTTATTCTGACTTGTTCTGTTGTATACTTTCAAAATTAAAAAAAAAAAAAAGATAAGGCCCTATTAAGGGGACTGCTAGTGTGTTTGTCTCTCTCTTCCTGTCCTCAAGCTTAATGAGCAGAGTAATGACCAGGAAGGGCAGGAGAAGGCAGCCAGGGTCTGTTCTCAGTTGCTGTACAGTTGGGGCTTGGCTTTTACTTGTCCCCATCTTGGGGGTGTCAGATGAAGGGAGCTGATGTGTGAAGTTGTGGCACTGTGATTTTTATATCCTCATGGTATTGTAGAAATTTTTCAGTGGATTAATCTCATTTTGTGGATGAGCGAGCTACATTCAAGGGGCTCGAGATGTTTACCCAAGGCTGGGTGGTGGATGGCCTGCGTCCCAGTAGGATTTGCTACTTCTGGTTCTTTTCTGTTCAACCGGCTTCCTGTATTATGTGAAATGTATATCCATTTTCAGGTGATGCTTTAGGAGTCTTTGTCTTTAAAAAAGTCATTTATAGACTGGGATGAGTGGGGTATGGTGTGCAGACTGCCTGTGTACTCGTTAGGCCCAGTGTAATTGTCACACTGATGTTGAAGGAGAAACACTTGAGGATTCATTTCTCATTAAAATGCAGCAGTCTTAGTTTATGAGTGTAGGTGAGCAGGGGGATCTCGTTTGGATCCCGATCTGCCTCCAAAGGAGCAACGATTTATTTACATTAGGAATTAATACACAGTGTTTTCTCCTAGTAACATACACGGAGCGAGTTCTCGTGCGACAGCAGGCAGAAACACCAAAAGGCCCCCCAGGATTTGGAGGCAGATTTATTTATATCGATGGGCATTGATCGGGATCATTCCCAGAATATCAGGCCCTGATCTCTGGTGGTCTAGGACTTTTATTTGATGCACAAGCAGGAGAGATAAAGGAAGTCCAATGGTGAGACAGAACAGCTGGCAGCTCTGCTGATTAGCTAGCAGGTGAGATCATGGGTTACAAGGGTAGAGGAATGTTCGTCAGTCCAGGAAGCTTGGGACAGCGATCCCATCAGGCATCCCACATGTGCCACTCTCGTGGTTGCAGGGGTCAAGAAAGTAATTGCAAAGCTATGACACAGTCACAGAACTAGGCAGTTTCAAAAGAACAAAGTTTTCTCTTCCACTAGTACCCACAGAATTTTGGAAGTTTCTTTTTTTCCCAAGTGCCTGCCATTTCTCATCACTCTATTTATAAAGTCTTCTCTTTCGTAAATACAACAGAACACCAAACAGAGCCCTCTATCATGTTTTGAAATTACCAAAGGAGGACTGTTTTCTTTGACGTGGTAGCTTAAATGTGAATTCTACAGGGACTGCTTGAAAGCGTTTCTTGAGTGGTTCCCTAGACGCGTGGCTTTCTGTTTGTCACTGCTGCAGATCACTGTCTTTGACGCTGACTCTGAGGAGCAGCGAGACCTGGACTTGGTGATCCTGACTGCGCTGCTGGAGGGTGAGTGGCGGATGGGCTCACACTCCGTGCCCATCCCGGGCCACCTTGAGCTTTGCTCACTGCCTCAAGCATCCTGCGGAGAACATTTGATCTTCCTTTCTTACTCCAGGCACGAGTTTATCAGCATCAGAGCAACTAAATCTAGCAATGGCTTGGGACCGAGTAGACATCGCTAAGAAGCATATCCTCATTTGCGGGCAGCACTGGAAGGTACAGTGAACATGAACTGATTTGGAGACAATATCCCGAGCCCTGGCTTGTAAAGTGAGGCAGGTCTGTGGGCGGGTGGGGGCAACGTCTTCAGGGCTGGGCTCCTGGGGGCAGCTACTGCTTTTCTCTCTTTTCCTTTTTCTCCTTGAAAACAATTTCCCCCATTCTTCCCAGCCTAAGTGAAGCTCAAAAGGGAAGTTGGAGGAAAGACAAGATGGAGAAATTTGTGATTTATTTTTTGTGTTTTGTTACTTCAGAATTAAAAGTTATGTCTTTTTTCTGCATTAAGATGTAATATGTGTTCACAGTAGAAGTTGGTCAAAAAATGTTTACCTGGAGAGATAACTACTATTAATATTTCATGTTAAGAAATTAAAATTGTAGTCCACTAAAGGTATGTTTGGGTCAGACCAATGAATGAACACTGTAAGACATCAGATGAGGGGCTGGGGATTTAGCTCAGCGGCATAAGCGCCTGCCTCGAAAGCAGGCAGTTGTGAGTTCGATCCCTGGTACCGGTAAAAATGAAAAAGCCAAAAACAAACAAAAAAAAAAAAGAAAAAAAAAGACATCAGATGATATTAAAGACTCCTGAAACAGGACTTTCCTGCCATAGCGAGTCCACTAATTTTGACATTTTAGAACTGTTCTAACATTTATAGAATTTCTTCATTTCTAGGTCACGTCACGTAGCCGTCTCCTGAGCCATCTGTTTCAGAAAGCTCTGAACTTTGCCATCCCAGGGGAGGGTGTCTGGAGGCTGCAGGGTGCTCAGGTCACTTTCTTTGCTCTGTGCTTAACTGTTGCCCAGGGGTGACCCTCTATTACCTCAGTCCTGTCTCTTGTATCTCAGGACTTCCTCTTTCTTAGTTCCCATGTTAATTTTGAAGACATGCATTTCTCAGCATCTCCTGAGAAACAGAGCATGGAATATAAACATTTTGAGAGTCTTTGTGTTTGACTACACTTTAACTCACAGTTAGAACTCATTTTCCCCCAGAATTTTGAATGTATAACATTGGTCTGGAGAAGTAAACATATTTCTGTTTTTCAGATCCTTTATTTCTGACCACCACCTCTCCAAATGTGGGAAACTTTAACATGTCATCTTTTCTGGTGTTCCAGGATGTCACAGTGATATCTGTCATCGTGAGTCTGCATGTCATGATTCCGGTGCATGATTTCACTTGTTTTCTCTTTTCCCCGAGTCCTATATTCTGAGTGTCGAGCCACGTATATTGCTTCTCTACTCCTCTTTATCCTTTTTCTATTATATTCTATATCTTGGTAGATTTTCTCCTATGAATCTTTTCTGTTCTAGCAGTATGTGGTGAATCTAATAATTCTTAAGAGCAAATTTGTTTCCTGATTGTATCGTCCTCCTTTTTAAGTTCATTTGCATCTGAACTGTGTCCCATTTTATCTCTCCCAAGATATCAACATTTCTTTTGAAGTTTTCTTCCTGCATTATCTGATTGCTCCTAGCTGATGTTGTACGATCTGTGTTTTGATTATGCTGTTTAAGGGCATAGGATAGAAAGCCCCTGGAGATTCTGGGCCTGTAGTTGAAGATTTCTTAGGTGTGTGCTTTGTAGTAGGGTGACTGGACTGTTGTTTGTTGGGAGCTGCTTCCAAATGCCTGTGTATTCATTTTCTTTCTCTGGTATGGGTGTTGCTAACAGACAAGAATCTTTTGATACCTGCTGAAAGGCAAAGCCTTTTTTCTCATATATGGGAGTTAGTAGGGGACTGTGACTGAGAAGGTCCCAACACTAGGGATTTGGCATGTATGCATTTATTTCATTTTGGTACTGCTGGAATTCTGTGGTTCTGTTGCATTTCCACCTTGCTGTTTGGCTTTCTGAGGACTGTGACGTCAGCATTGCTTATTCGGGGTGTCAGGACTTGACCGATGCCCTTCCACCTTCCAAAACATTGTGCTTGTGTCTCCATTCTTGCTATCCTGTGCTTGTGCATTTCGCTTACAAAAACTGTTTGCTGTGGTACCAATGGAGTTTTAGTGACAGTAGGAAGTGTTCACCTTGCTGGTTTATCTATTTATTTATTTTTTGTCTTTTTCCTTTTTTGGTACTGGGGATCAAACTCACGACTGCCTGCTTGCAAGGCAGGCGCTTATGCCGCTGAGCTAAATCTCCAGCTCCCACCTTGCTGTTTATACTCAGATACCGAGTAGAGTTTAAATGGAAACGTGATCTCACCACAGCAAGCGAATGACCACCAGCGGCGACAATAGCAACAAGCCAATGAGAACAAAAGCTTCAAACTTTTTCTTAGAATCTTGTTAAGACTGCACATGATTTTGGGAGCTTTGAGATCTTTAAAATACTAGGTTTTCCCATTCAACAACATGAGATATTTCTTGATCTATTCAGATATCTTCACTTAGGTCCTGCGCAGTTCTAAGATATTTTGTAATTGTATTTGTGTGGCTTGGAGTTCCAATACCTGTAATTCTTCAGTCGTTTCTACTTCGTTGACGGTGTCTGTCTGTCTTGTTTATACCTTCTGAAGCCTGACATGCTGGAACAAGCAATGCTAGATGCTTTAGTGATGGATCGAGTGGATTTTGTGAAGCTCTTGATTGAAAACGGAGTGAATCTCCATCACTTCCTTACCGTCCACCGCTTGGAGGAACTCTATAATACGGTGAGTAGAGGGCATCTCACCAGTCAAACCCATATGGTTCATGTGTTAATCAGCTTTATATCTGCCTGTGTCCTTGAATGCTCATGCACAAAGATAGTATACAGAGATAAAGACTTTCAGCCTAAGGGGAAATATTCTTACCAGCCAACTTTTATTCTACTAAGAAATAAAGACAAAGATGTAAGAACAAATTGCTTTTTATTGAGTTATTTGAAGTATATTTAAGGCCACTATTAAAATGCTCCTGCTGAGCATAGTGGTACCAGCATGTGAGAGGCTAAGGCAGGAGGATCACTGTGAATTCGAGGCCAGTTTGGGCTACATAATGAGGTCAGAGCTAGCCTGAAATACATAGTGAGACCCTGTCTCAAAAAACCAAAATGTTGGTTTTTAGCTTCCCTATGCAAATTCTCTGTTGAACCTAACTGGCTTGCTTACTATAAAAACTCCAATTACATAGTAGAAATATCCTTCCTTGTCCTATAATATTGTTTTTTTTCAAACCTGTTCAAGTTGTGTATTCCTGATGATGCCAGGTGCTTCACAGTGCTCAGCACATACATTGTCATGTTACTGGTGGGCTTTTGTGTTAAGTGCTCATTTTTTTTTAATCACTCTAAGCCTTGTGATTCCTTGGAGACTTTATTGGACATTATATAATTTCGGTAGATAGCAGACAATGGGATGCTGTTGTGTGAAATTTGTAATTGTGTGACAATGTTTATAGATGATAAAGGATAGTAATAGATTGCTTAAAATTTATTCCTGCTTTTTACCACGTAGAGTTAACTATCTTACTATCTGCATATACACATGTTGCTTTGAAAACCACATTTTCTCTAGGGAAGCTCCTTACTAGCTTTAAGCTTCTTGAGTAAGAATGTTGAAGAAAAGTTTTCCATATTCTGGGTTATGTATGCATTCTGAAATAAAATGCCCTCCGCTGCAGCCCCTGGCAATTAAAGAGAATTAATTCTTTCTTTTGTTCTTATCACAGAAACAAGGGCCAACAAATATGCTTTTGCATCATCTTGTCCAAGACGTGAAACAGGTAACCTAATCCCAAATACGTGGAGGTGCTTTGTGCATCGCCTTAGCTTTGTGATGAAGGAGCCAGCAAACGTTGCTGCAGAAAATGCAGGTTTGGGAGTTTTAGTGAGTTACCCGCACTTGTTCCATACGAGTCTAACAATTCCATCACAAAATCATACTCTTATATTTCCCCCCAATTTGCTTTATGTTTTTAAAGTGATGATCCACCAAGCAAGGAACATTAGCTAATAAAGACTGTGAAGAGCAGTCTCAGCTTAACGTGATGCACTCTTAGCTGACTGCTGACCACGCCGTGCTGAGAGCTGGGTGGCCCTGTTATCCTCCTCAGAGGACTAAAATACTTTTGATGTTATTGTTTAGAATGTTAGTGCCTATTGCGGATACTGTTACTTCTTCTCTGAGTCTCAGCTTTGTCTTGGGAGTCAGAGTGATGTCACTGCTCAGCATCCTGCATGTGTCTTACTGTGGTGTCCTCACCGGATGTGAGTGAGATCAGACTTGAAATCAGAAGGGCTTCTGATTGTTAACTGTGATTCTTATCTACCCAAACCACATGTTGTAAAAGTTATTCTCTTGTTTTTCTGGAGTGTTATGTTGACTTGGTGGTAGAGGCAGAGGGATCCATTCACTTGGCAAATTTATTTAAAAAAATTTTTTTTTAAATTTTAAAGATAGTAAAATCCAACAAACCAAAACAGAACAAAGCCAATCAAAACAAAGCAGCAAAATTGGTACAGAACTTCAAAGCAGGATAGTAGGAAAACAACAATAGCTACCATATTTTATCTTGTTATGTTCACAATAGTTGTCCATTCCCTCAGCAAAAATCAAACCAAAAACAAAACAGAATAAAACCAATCAAAACAGGATACTGAATAAAGCAGCACAATCAGAACAAAGCAAAACAGTGAGACAATATTGGGTTTCAAAGATATGATAGAAGAAAATCCCCCATATTTGCTGTATTGCATACTGTCATCCTCCCAAGAGATGCTCAGACTGCTGGCCCAGGCCTGCAAAATCAACCAAACAGTACAAGCATTTGGTTGCTTTATGTACTTTAGTTGCTTTCAACTCAGCCTGTCCTCTGAACCAGTGGGTTGCTTACAGGGGTGTGGGGGTCTTGATTTTCAGCCCTCATGCTGCTCATGGGAGGTGCTGACTGTCCTCTTTCTGGAAGCTTCGTGGTTGCACGGTTTATCAGAAAGGCTGGTTGCTTCGCTTCTGGTTTGGTCCTCCCAGTCCCAGATGGCCGATTCTCAGGAGGTGCTGACTTTTCTCTTCCAACAAATTTATTTTAAAGAGAAAAAAAACCCCCAAAATTTCAAAATAGTGATAAATACAGGGTAACAGTGAGCAAAAATATCCATGCTCATGTGAGCTTAGTGTACTTTTGATTTATGCTATATCAAAATGGTTTTCCTTAAATTATTTCCTCTAACTCTATCATCATAAATGGAAGAGAAAGGGACTTAGCAGCAGATAAGAATTAGTTCTGTTCCTATTTGAAAACATAAATTATAAAATGTGGAAAAGGAAAATTATACACACATGTACACAGTTTAGTTTCTTGTTCGTAGCTGTGTGAGTGTTATTCCCAGGATGTCAGTTTTAGAGTATTTGGCTCTAAAAACGTCCTGAATAGCAGTTCAGAAGGGCACAGCTATAAAGAGTTGTCATGTGACATCTGTTTAAGGGGTCAAAACAGTTTTCCTGTAGACTAAAACCCAAGCTCTTGAAAGTCTAACTCTTAGCTCTTCTATCAGCCAAAACATTTGTCTTGGCATAACCTGACCATCTGATATCACAGCTCTTTGACCTGTTTTTATTTGCTGTACTTCCTTCCCTGTTTCTCTTTCACATAAAGTGCAGCCCGCATGGTGGAAAGGGTTACAGCCATTTCAACAGTGAGGTGGAAAGGTAACCCAGGCTGGTCCAGGGATGTAACTCGGAGGTGTAAGTGCCTCGCTGGCAAGTGCACGGTCCTGAGTTTCATTCCTGGTACCAAAACAAATAAACAAACAAAAAACAAAACAAAGAAAAAAGTTAACCCAGTCTTAATTTTGGATGAAATACATTCACTGTATACATCATGATTTTACTTCTGTAGTTAACTAATTTGCATTTGAAATCAATTTTTATATTAGATTTAAATGTATTCAAATACATATGTACGTATGTTTGCCTGCATAATAGGGAGAGGGAAATAGAGGGAGAGGTAAAGAAAGCACACTGATGTAAGAATATATTTGATATCTGTGAAACTGTAAAGCATATTAAGGCTAAGACCTTTTCACTTCTGAGCAAGGACATTATATCAATAGCTAGCCATATTAATTGATCAGTTTGTAAAGATGCTGAAAAAATTTATTTCTGAGCAGTTAATTTGGTTTTGATAGCATGGAAAATGAGACAGAAAAAGAGATCTGAGAGCTTTAATTCACTGCATGTTTTTATTACAGCATACCCTCCTTTCTGGCTATAAAATAACACTGATTGACATTGGACTGGTAATAGAGTACCTTATTGGTGGAGCCTACCGCAGCAGCTACACTAGGAAAACTTTCAGGATCCTGTACAACCCCCTCTACAGAAAACGCAAGGTAACACGATTGAATCTCAGCTACTTGGGAAACTGAGGCAGGAGGATCTCAATGTTAGGGTTGGTCAGGGGAGTTTAGCTATTTAGTTAGGCAGTGTCTTTTAAAAAAAGGGGTCAGAGTGGGGAGCTGTAACAATGTGAAGGCCCTGGTTTAAATCTCTAGTACTACTGGAAAAATAAAGAGAGTACCTTAGTGAAAGTAACGATAATTAGTAATCATACCTGGAAATCCTATTTGTGCAGGGTTGGAAACTGCCATGTGCAGAGTACGGTGCTGAGGGCTGGCATGCAGGCGTGGAATAAGCGTAAGGATCAGGCATCTAGACACTGAGAAGAAACAGGTTTATGAATAACCAGCCAGAAATGTATTTATGAATAACTACTTTAAGGATGTAGGACTAGAGTTGCTTAGTAGATCAGCAGAGAAAACATTACTTGTTTCTTAAAATTATCAGTACATAGTAGGAGCTGAAGGAGCCTGATTGTTATTGGAAATTGAGGTCAGTGTTAGCAAAGGAAGTTTCGGGCGTTTAGTTGAGAGAAGAGCAAGAACAGGCATGGACGCAGTTTGCAGAAGCCAGGATGTATTTCTTGCAAAGAGATCACACCAAGAGCATGGACCATGCGGCCGTTATTTTTAAAGAAGCAAAAGTGAAACACCACTTGGCTTTAGGAAGTGAAAGATGCTTCATTTAGAGGAAATATCCATCTCTGTGAGGTCTGTCCTGTGGTGTTAAGAGACCGTGGTCTTGTGCAGCCCAGGATTGAGCTTGCTACAGAGGTTCCCCTTGGGGGCCACCAGTACGAAATTAGCCACTTCCCCCATTATGTGTCAGTGGAGTAGGACTGCTTCATGGTTAGAACAGTCACAAGTGCAGTGGTCTGAGAGATCTGAGATTGAATCTTAGTGCTGTTCCTTGTAGGCGTATATATTCATCAGCTTTCCCTCACTGTGACTGACATGAATAGACTTAAAGGAGGAGAGATTTAGTTTGGCTCATGGTTTCAGAGATTCAGTCCATGGTTAGCTATTCAACAGTGGTGGATCTCAGATGAAGCATAGCATCAGGGCAGAAAGTGTGATGAGGCAAAGCTGCTCTCCTCCTGGCAGTTGGGAAACAGAGGATGAGGGATAGATTTGGAGAAGAAAGGATGGGGGACCAGATGGAGCTCCAGTGTCATCTCTCCATGATCTCCTTCCTTCAGCTGGCTGCATCTCCATTTCCATCACTTCCCACTAATAATGCTGTCACATCGTGAGCTGATCAATGGATCACTCCACTGATGAAGACAGAGCTGGAATAATCCATTCATTCCCAACAGCTCACCAGCAACCAATCCTTCAACACAATGAGTCTTTTTAAAGGAAATTTTGGACCCTAACCATAACTGTGTGCAATCTTGAACATCAGCTTCCTAACCTAAAAAGTGGAAATATTACTATTCCTTTCATAAACTTGTTAGAAGAATTAGTCATATAATATTTGAAGAGTCCACACTCCTGGTGCATAGTGGGGACTGAGTAACCTTAGGTGATAATAGTCATTATAGCTCTTGGCCCCAAGGATAACTATTAATTCTATGCCTCAATAATAACGATAATGTTTTGGGTCTTGAGCTCATTATTTCTATGTCTAACTTTTATTTATACAACAGAAATCGAGTATATATAGAGCAGTTTCAAATTTGTAGTTTACATCTTACAAATTTATGTCAGTCCTTTTAAGAATGTTTCTCATCAGTGAAAACTTTATGCTGATAGCAGTGTCTTACGCTGTTATTGCACCTAACCATTGGAACTGCAGTGGAGATATTATAGGACACCTGGAGAAATTCCATACTTTCTCACTTCATCTTGGTTTTGGAGCCACTTGTGAATGGGAACTTTCTCTTATCAGAAACATAAATCTTGGTTATTTGCTTTGCACTTCTAAAGATAGAACATCCATTGATGGTGATGGGATTTCCACATGGCAGTGGAATGCAGGCATAGAACAGGGAGCAAAGGAGTGTGTTCCCTGAGATGCTAGGAAATAACAGTGTGCATGAGAAGGCGATCATGAGAGACTCTTATTGGGTGAATAATTAGTTTCCAGGGAAATTAATTACTAATCATGGATGAGAGACAGAATCATTGGATATTTGCTAAGAAACAACATTATATTCCACATTCATTTTATTGTCTACTCTTTTTCTCTTATTGTTTTCTTTAAAACACTGAATAATGACACATGCAGAGTGTGACCAGCTTGGCTCCGAGCTTTTCCCAGCACCCACTTTACCGGAGGCGCTCCTCGGAAAGTAGAAGAGAGTCCACAGAAAGCACACTGCATTCCCAGTTCTTCAGAATGGCCCAACCTTACCAGCCCAAGGTACCATGCCTTGCTCCTAGAGTTGGAAGCAACAATGTGTTTTGCAGAGTGAGACTTTATTTAATGCTGGAGGAAGAGAGGTACAAATAGAGGAAACATTTACAAGCGCCATAAACAGGTGGTACAGGTCAAAGACGTAAAACAGCGCTGTCCTCCACTGACAGAGAACAAAGGCCCATGACACAGCACTGGCGACTGAGCGAGCATCTAGCCCCTCAGTTTCCTTCCTTGTTCCCACTCTGCCCTGTCCAGTGACTCAGGCAAGCAGCATACACAATGGTATCAAACACGGTAATCTTTAGCTCAACACCGCACCCTTTTCTTCCTTGCCCCAACACCAGCTGGGTGTGAGGGCTATTTCATTTTCCTCCGTCCTCTCAAACTGCCCCTTTGTAACTTCTGTTTCCCTTCAGAGATTTTCTTGAAATACACTTTAGTCTCATGTTATAGTATGACGGTGATAACAAGTGTGTGTGTGTGTGTGTGTGTGCACACGTGTGTGTATGTGTAGCTTTCACGCACACATTTGTACAACGTGGATATTCCTCTTCCTCCTGACTCCCCCAAACCCACTTTCTTTGAGGAATAAATGCTTTTGTCTAAGAGCTTCCATTTAATAAATAGTTACCAGATTAGCTGAGAAAGGTTTGCTCTCTGTGGATCCTGGAATGGAAAGAGAACTGGTCATCCTTGGTCATCATTAATGAGCTTAGGGTCCCTTTATTTATGGAAATCCAGAAAACAGAGTATAGTTGTTTTGCTGTGGTCCCTCCAAATACAAAGAGTAATTTTTGAGCCTTTATTATTTTTCAGGCATTATACCAACTACTTGGTTAAATTTGGAGTGCGGGCAGGTAGAGACAGTCACGAGGACTGAGAAATGGTCCCCTGTCCCCAAGGTAATAGCATAGGGCAGTATGAAGGCTAGCAAAATACAGACCTAGGAAGTGATGCACATGGGGCTAGAGTGGCATCTGTGATGAGCTGCAAAGGCTGAGCTTACCAGGGAGAGAGCACTTCAATATTATCGGCCTCACGAGAGACTTAGAAAAAGGAGACGTAAAGCAATGTAGTTTGCAAGTCAGCAACACGCGTGACATTGCTTCCAAGGGGAAGAAATGAATCTCTTTGCTAAGTTGAGGTTAGGATTTTAAAGAAAATTCTCACTTATGCAATGTGCTACTTGAACCCATTACCCTGAGAAATCAAAAGTATAGTTACTGGGTATGTCCTAAAGCAATACTGATTTAAATTGTGCTGTTAATTTAATTAATTAAACTAATTCTCATATATCCATATCTCTTAATTACAATAGGAAGTAGATTGCCATAACAAATTTCAATTCTGCTTCCTAGTTTATAAGTCCTATGACATTTTCATCTCTCTAGTAATGATTTTTAAAAATGTCGTAGGTTATTGCCATGTGTGTTATATTAGATAAAATGTTATGTACCCCAGTATTTGAAACTTTTTCCTATTTTGCTTTTTGACAGGAAAAATCTGGGGTCCCTCACAAATCTAGGCACAAGTCAAAAGAAAGACTAGATGTACCAGCTGACCTTGAGTCCATTGGCTTTACTTACCCGTACAATGACCTGCTGGTTTGGGCAGTGCTAATGAAGAGGCAGAAGATGGCTATGTTCTTTTGGCAGCGCGGTACGGAGGCCACAGTGAAGGCTGTGATTGCTTGTATCCTCTACAGAGCAATGGCCCATGAAGCTAAGGAGAGCAACATGGTGGACGACACCTCCGAGGAGCTGAAAAGTTACTCAAAGTAAGAGTCCCTGTTGGCACATTGAGATACTTTTCTTTCCCTCACTCTAGAGTTTGTGTGGTCACTACTTAGTGATTGCCATGTGTAGGTACACATGCATGAGAGAGGATTCACTAGGGCGTTGATGGTGTGATTATTGTGACCGAGCAGTCCCTGGACAGGCTGCCCGAAGGCTGCAGATCCTTAGCTTGGCTTAGTCCAAATTCAAAGACCTGGGGGCCAGGACATTCTGCAGTGTAACTCTTAGTTCAAGGTGACAGCTGACAAGCCAGGGGAGGCTGTGGGCTACTGCTGCTGCTGCTGTGTCTTGAAATCCAAAAGCTAGAGACTTTGGACTGTTGATGTCCAATGCAGGAAATAAACACGTGCCAGTTCTTGAGGGGCAGAGACCGGTTGGCTTTTGCATTTGTTCTCCCTGGGCCCCTGGCAGTTTAGGTGGTGTCCACTTGCTTGGAGGATAAATCCTCCCTCCAGCCACTTGGGTTTACACACTGACCTCCACACAGACATCACAAATGCCTTAGGTGGTCTCTAGACAGCCCCTCATTTAGGCCATCCAAGTGACCCCCAGTGCTAAGTGTGACATGGTGCATTTCATGGACTGTTGTATTGAGAGGGTTTTAAGGAACTTCGTGGAATATAAGAAAGAGAGGACTTGAGGTCAGGACAGCTGGGCCCTACGTCTAGCTGACTACTGACAAGCCCAGCTGACTAGTTGTCCACATTTCTGAGCTTTAGTTTGATTTTAGCCCAAAGGTTAAGAAGTGATGGAGCTTCTCTAGAGTGAGGTTAAGAGCTTCAGTTTCTTAACTGTAGTAAATGTTCTTGGGATGAATGGTGTTGAAAGTCCCTTCGACTCCGAAATCCTTTGACCCTAAGTTAAATTAAGAGGTTTTGTTTGCTTTATGTCTCCCTGGCGGGGAAAACAAGTAGTTGCATTATATTAAAGAACTACAGAGTAATGGTAGAGCTGGCAAAGGTAAAAAAGTACTGTACTTTTGGCTTTTTGATTGGTACAGTGTTATGGCAGTAAGGAAAGAAAAGAAGCTTAGCGATAATGAAAGCTATTGTATAACCTTGATTTTGAAAAAAAATCCCGAGGATGAAAGCTTCTTCAGAGGAGATAACCTCATGGAAAATTTCCCAAGAGTGTCTCTCGAGATCTAACTTGTTAAATTATCAAGACGTTTTGTAAAATATGAGAAAAAAATAAGACCCAACAATTTTCCCTAGAAGGAACAATGCTTTCATTTGGAAAGTTCTCTGGTAAGGCTTTCAGGAGGCCACATACCAACCCGTGTCATGATTCGCATGGTGTGAGGTGCCTTCTGACATCTCAAGTGTGAGCTATGTTCTGACTGCTATTGTGAAAATACCCCAACTGTGTTCCCTCATGAAAGGGGGGAGAATTACTTTGCTAATATGTCACCCTTTTAGCTTTTGCAGACCAAGATATGTGTTTTGGTACTAGGAATTGAAATCAGGATCTTGCGTTTGCCAGGCAGGCGCTGGGCTGCTGAGCTGTATCTCCGGCCCAGACTGAGACTTTTGAATTGCTGTTCGTTTGTTTTTAATAAAGCCAGATGAACTGGCATTTTCGGAGTCTCACCTTTTAGAGGGTCTCTGGGGCTCCCCGCATCATGTTTTTCTCCAATCCTCACTGCTGCTTACAGGGAGTTTGGCCAGTTGGCCCTGGACGTGCTGGAAAAAGCATTTAAGCAGAACGAGCCCATGGCCATGAAGCTCTTGACCTACGAACTTAAGAACTGGAGCAATTCCACCTGCCTGAAGCTGGCGGCGTCTGGGGGGCTGCGCCCTTTCGTCTCGCACTCCTGCACGCAGATGCTGCTGACTGACATGTGGGTGGGGCGGCTGAAGCTGCGGAAGCACGCCTGGCTGAAGGTGCGTGGGCTGGCCGCGGTGAGAGTCAGTTAGGTCACAGGGAAGAGGACAGAAAGCAAAAGACAGGCGAGCAACAACAGCGAACCCAGGACAGCAACAGCATAGGTTTACAAAACAAGAGGTAGGAATTTGACAGTGGTTGTAATAGTGCATGTTGTTACCTTTAAAAGGGTTGCTTAGAATAGCAGATATAGACATGCAGAATTGATCTAGTGATGTGAATATTGGCTGTTCTTTTCCAGTAGCTAACACAGTTAGTAGCATAGCTATTTTAGCCATCAATGTCTTTTCTTTTTCCCTTCCTTCTTTCCTCCTTTCCCCATCCTAGTTACTTTTCCTCTTGATGTGGTATCTTTATACTATGAAGTACTACTCAGCTATAAAGAAAGATTGCATCAAGACTTTTGTAAGTAAATGGATGCGACTTGAGACCATACTCATAAATGAAGTAAATCAAACTCACGTGTAAATACCGTATTGTCTCTCTAGTGCAAGGGACTGAAAAGAGATATATGATCCAAAACCTGCAGTAAATACTGTGTAAGGGGGAGAAACTGCTCAAAAAGGAAAAGTAACTGTGCTCCATTCTTAAAATCTGGCTCCGGCGGGATGGTCTCGGGGAAACCAGCGAGTGTCCTGTCCCAGGGAGCTGGGGTGGGCCCAGAGCACATCTGGAGGCCCCTGGGTTTCTCGGTGCCCCATTGCTTTTTAACTGAGGGCGTACTTGTTCCTCTCTTGGAGTCCACAGCAAAGACGCTCGTGTGAGCAGAAGTGGGTAGGAGGCCTGAGGAGCTGGCGCGGTGCCCTGTTAGCACAGTGTGCCAGCATCCCTGACACCTCTGAGCAGATGATGCTGCAGTGTTAGTGAGATTGTTCTCAGTTCAGAGGGTGAACCGAGCCCAGGCATGGAGATCACAGGTGGCGTGCGTACTTCATTTTCATGGGGCTCTGGGTTCAGTCCCCAGCACCAAGAAAGAAACAAAACATAATACTAACAGGCAGTAAACACATTCAGTGTTGTCTTTGCTGCCCATCCAGTGTGTTTCAGGGTATTTCGTAAAGTTACCCCTAAGTGCGTTTTCTTGTTTTCTTTTCATATCAGAGATCAAACTCACAGCCTTGTGCTTGCCAGGCAGGCACTGTGCCACTGAGCTATATCCACAGCCCCTCTTAAGCATGCTTTAAAGCCACTAACCACCCCCAAATTTTTTTAGCTCTTTCCACAAATACTTTAAATTAGCAAGAGTGATTGAATTACCTGATGAAGACATTTAATCTTTGATGTAAAACCTACCCTAAAGTGTTAGTTCAGCCTTAGGAAGTACCTGTGTTTACGATGGCTTCTCTTATATGAGAAACCCAGCGTATTTTTTTATTTGTTTCTGTTGCTTTGAGACAGGGACTCACTGTGCTGTTCATGCTGGCTTTGAACTCACTGTGTAGCCCTGGCTGGCCTTGAACTGGCTGCAATCCTCCTGCCTCAGCTTGCTGAGTGCTGGATTTATAGGTTGTACTATCGTACCAGGCTCCAAAATAAAAACAGTTTACAAAGCAAAGAAGAAAGACAGATGATAGGAAACTTGGAAACTGACTTTATAGAAGTAAGAGTGGGAAGTGGCCAGAGGGAGAGGAGAGGAAGAGGAAGGAAGAGGATGAAGACGTGATATGTACATGCCAGTGCCCCGTGGAGAATATATTCATTCTCTGTTACTGGCGTATACTGATAAAAATTTAAAAAGAAATACGTATGCTTATGAAAGTGGATAAAAGAGATCAGGTATGAATATTAACAGTCCTGTAGGACTACATTTGATATTTTAATTTAATTCTTCCTTAAAAATGTAATATATCCACCATAGAATGTCTGTTCTATAGTATATGTTTTTGGTGGATGAAGATTACCAAAATGAAAGAGATGTCAGTGAAACTCTAATGCAGATTCTTCTTTAGCAGTAAATCAGAGAGGGTTTGTTTCTACAAGTCTCTTTTTGACCTGCCTTGATGTCAGCCTGGGAGGTGGTGAAGCAGATGTGTAAGTGGTCCCCTCTGCCAAACACTCTGCTGAAATACTCAGGGGGAACAGTGGGGATTACATAGCGGACAGTCTGGGAAATTATGCTCCTCATAGCTGTGTCCTGTGCATCCTTCCGTGTACCACACTTACTGTGACTGAGAGCCTAACTAATGTGTGCTCCTTTATAGTAAAAAATGAAACTGGTGGAGTAAGATGAAATGTTTTGTCCCAAAACGTGCAGTGATTTAATACAGTCTCTGAATTTCAGGAAACCATGATTCTCTAGTGTCCAGAACCTAGCTTGTCTATGCTTAGCCCGTGTGTTTTAGGAATGGATTTGCAAATAGTCATAAGCTGTCCCGGTCAGACTGACTTCAGACGTGTGAGATTGCCAGAAAACCATGCCGCATTATGTGGATGGGAAACTTATTTAAGTGCTTTCAGTGTTAGACTCCAGCTCATCTTTTGCGAATGGTTATTGGTATCATTGATAATGGTATTATACTCTTTCACAAGCATTTCACGAGTATTATTCCACACTGTCCTGCAGTGGACAGGGCACCAGGCAGCAGGTTAGGAACCAGTCCTCGTCAGTTACCCCTGAGCGTGGTAACTGTGGCTGTTTTCCAGACCTAGAAGGGTATGTGTATTTTGGATTCTACATCTGAAAAAAAAACACACACAAGCTTCTGTCAGAATTAGTGAAAGTCTAGAGAGTCTTTGCCTATAAACAACAATTGAGAGGTCGTTTCATCATGAAAAACAAAGATTGACAGGGATATGACATCAGTTTATTTAATCATGCATGACTGCTTTAATCTTATTTTTGGTCACCAAATCTCAGAATACTGAGACTTAGTTTGAGCTTCACGGAGGGAGCGTTTGGCAGCTGACTGGGTGAGTCTTCTTAGCTATTACCTAAGAGGCCATATAAACTGAATGTCAAAATTATCTTGAAAAGAATATTAATAATTCCCAAAATGAGAGCAAAATAATGAAAAAGTCATAGATGTTTGGGTCTGTCCTTTCTTTGGGTCTTATTAGCAAAGTATTTGTGCAGGATTGGTGGTGGTTCTAACTCGATACTTTTGTAGGCAAGTTTTTTAATTTATTTTTTTGTGGTACTAGGGCTGAGCTATATCCTCAGCTTAATTTTTATTTTGAAACAAGGTCTTGCTAATTTGCAAAGGTTGAGCTTAAAGTTGCAATCCTCTTACCTCAATCTCCCAGAGTGCTAGGATTATAGGTATGTGCCACAAATCTGGTTTATATTCTTTATAGGCCTATAATATGAATTATGTTTTATGTGGCAGTATCTACTTAACTTTAAAAATTATTAAAATCTTGTGAGATATATGTTTTTAAATTTTAGATGCATATTTGTTTAAAAACTAAAATTGTTTTTACCAACATGGACTATTTTTTCTGTGTATAGTGTTATTTATTTATTTATTTTTGGTTTTAAAAAGTTTTAAATGTTTTTTGGTTTTTAGAAGTTTAAAATTTTTGGTTTGGTTTATTTTTGAGGCAAGGTTTCACTATATAGTTCAGGATGGCCTTGAAGTCACTAGGTAGTCCAGGCTGGCTTTGAACTCATGGTGATCCTCCTGCCTCAGCCTTCCAAGTGCTGAGATTACAGCTGTAGGTCACGCCTGGCTGTCTAGTGTTCTGTAGTTTACTTTTTGAAGCTTACTATTGCATGGATACCTTTCCATTATACACAGCTTCATGTTTATATTCCATGGTTAGGTTGTTCCTTTTTAGCTGTCCCCGTGTAGGGGTAAGTTGTAAGTTGTCACTTGGTCTTTTTTGTTTATTTTACTTTGGTTTTGGTTTTGGTTTTTGCAGACAATGCAGCCAAAACTAGCCTCAAGCTCACAGTCCTTCTGCCTCAGCCACTTGAGTGCTGGAACTAGAGAGCACCGTCATGTGCGGCAGTTAGGGTACCACCAGGTTTTTGGCTTTGCACCTAACTTTGCAGTGGACAGTTTAATCCACATATACAGTGTCAAAATGGGTATTTCTGAGGGAGACATGTAAAGAACTGAAATTGCTGGGTCAAAAGTTATATTCAGAACCAAGATATAAATTGAATGGAGAATGAATATGATTTTTTTTTTTTTTGAGACAGCATCTTGCTACATAGTCCAGACTGGCCTGGACTCACCGTGTAGCCCAGGTTGGCCTTGAACTCGTGGATACTCCTGCCTCAGCCTCCTGAGGGCTGGGTTTATGGGCATGCATCGCACGCCCAGCATGAATAAGATATTTTCATATGTGCTTAAATTTTTAGTTTTCTTCCTTGAATAGCGCAAACATCTTGTGTATTTTCTACTACTTACTCTATCTTGTTTTCGTTGACAGATCATCACAAGTATTCTTTTACCGCCCACCATTTTGACCCTGGAATTTAAAAGCAAAGCTGAGATGTCGCACGTCCCGCAGTCCCAGGACTTCCAGTTTACATGGTATTCCACCGAGCAGAACGCCAGCACTACCAAAGAAAGCGCTTGCCCGGTCAGTGCTGTGGCCCAGTACATTGAGCTTTGGAGGTGTTGAGGTCCACAGACACACACAGCCCTATGTCTGTTCATGGAGTGGTCCCTTGCAAATGTCTCTTGCTGCAGTTCCGTGCAGTGATGAGTCTGGAAGGGCACATGAGTCAGCTAGTTTTGGCTGCCCCTAACTGGTCACCTGGGCACTGCCCTCTCTGCCTGGTCGCCCACCATCCATCAGTCAGCGGAATAAAAGACGAAACTACAGACTTCATTATATTCACAGCTGTCCAAAGTTTTGTTTTCCACTCTGAGTAGTGGAATAGATTACTACTCTCAGGCAGCGGTGAGCAATGCCTCTCAACCCTGAAACCCTTATTTGTAAGTGGGCAGTGTTGACATCCTGCCAACTTTGCCCTCTTGCGTCTGCTGGGGATTGGTTGAGTGCTCATTCTGAGGGGTTGCTGTCTCTGCCGGATCAGCTGTGAAATGTTTCAAGTATCACTCCCCTTTGGGTATACGTGCCTGCCTCCCTCTCTCCCTCCCCGCCTGTCTTTTTTCCTCTCCCCTTTCCTCCTTTCTTTTCCCCCTCCCTACTGGAGGTCTCAGAATCCAGTAGGGCAAATATGTTCTGAAATCTGTGGAATGTGTCAGAAATCACCTCTTGCAGATCTGGGCCAGTTAAAATGTCACATCTGTGACTGTACCAGCTAGAAGATAGCTTCAGTAAGGTGGACCATTTCTATGTGGTTTTTGCATGTTTAATTGTTCACATTTGGCTGGTTTAGTTGTCTTAAGTGAACAGTGAAGAAAGCTGTTTACCCAACATTTATCTTCAGACACTGAGGGAACTGTAGAGAGCTGAAGCATGGCCCTGAGCAGCCCTTCTCAAAGGAGAGATCCAGAGAAAGACAATTAAGTGTGCTTTTAACAGTGAGAAAAGGTGTCACATGCTCACAGTCCCCTGAACAAATCACATTTTGGCTGTAGGCTGTGGTCCTGTTAGCAGTCTCCCACCCAGGTGGTTTGGATGTGGCCATATCCATTGATCAGTGAGCTTTCCATCACCTGCTTCTACGTGCCACAGATAGAAGGCGTAGGGAACAGGGTGACCGAAGGCAGATGTGGCCTCTACCACCATGGGGTTCATCGTCAGACAGAATACCCATGGATTCACCCTAATTCAGTTTAAAATGTTCATTGCAAAAGTGTTCCAAGTCTGTTCTATTAGGAATGGCTTTAGCTTTTGAATCTAACTTAAACAACTATCACCGATCAGCTGATCAGTGATCTTCCTGCCTTAGCCTTGTGAGACCATGGGGGTGTAGGTGTACGTCCTTGCACTCAGCTAAAACTCCTTACTTTATTGAGCTTTCTGTAGGCAAAATAGCTGCCAGGGAAGTTTACCTCTTCCCAGCTGCTAACCTTTAAAACCATGGCATATGACAGTTTGAGGGAAGATGGCAGAATGGGTTAACAGAGTGGGAGATGGGGACCCTCCTCAGTAGGGACCAGGAGAGCACAGGGGTTTGTGACAACCTCACGCTGGCGGTGCTGTCTGAGCTGTGACTGGAGGCCTTCTGGCAGAAGGAAGCTGTGAGTAGGGGCCCTGAAGCAGGAGGTAAGAAGGCCTGGCCGAGCTTCCCAAGGGTGTGTTTTGTCTGGCGAGGGGGTGAGTATCCATAGGCATGGCTGGGAAAGGAGAAGGACTTCTGTGGGTCTCAAGAAGGATTCAGTGGAAAACCATGGAACGTGTAGCCAGAGGATTTGACTGGCAGGAGAATGGTTTTGCCTCCAGCGCAGAGGATAGGTTAGCAAGAAGGCTGCTGGAGCTGGGGCGGTGGAAGCCACAGCATCTGTGTAGCGGGGAAGTCATGGGGGCATCGGCCCGGCCGGGAACACAGACTTGGAGAGAAAACGACAGATCTTCAATGGAGCATCGTTGAAAATGGGACATGGGTGAGGAGATAGCAAAGGTGACGCAGGAGATGATGGCATGGCAAGGCCATCTTGAAGGGACTTGGTGACTGGAAAAATAGAGATAGCCTCTCTCTTGGACATGCTGCTAAATCTAATGAAAAATGTTGGAAAAGTGGAGTAGTCTATCAGGTCTATCAGAGCATTGGAGTTGATCATTTTTGTAATGTTTTACTCTGTGTATTTGCCAGTGTCTCAATACTGTTAGGGAAGGAAGGGGGAGAGAGTTGCATGGAATAAAAGTTAGCTAAGCTTCTTCTAAGGAAAAATCAAAGCTTGAATCTGAACAAATACTTTCACTTGGCCTCATGAGGACAGGCTTGGCGAGAACTTTCTGCCCTTCCTTTATAATGTATTCCAAAGTGTGAAGAATCCTTGAGACCCGAGGAAATACTCTTAGAAAAAATAATAAGAGAAGTTATGTGATAACAAGGTCATTGTTCAAATTGATTTTGGGATCTTTCTGAAGTGGTATTGACATGGGAGTGGAGGGGAGTCACCAGTAAATGGTGACTTAGATGATGTTTTCCAGCCACTTTAATTCCAGGCTGGCTCTAACCTGTTCAGAACCTTATCAGTGCTTACAGCTCTGAGTCACTATCTCAAAGGTACCTTGCGATAATAGATCAGGCAGCAAAGATCACCCAGCCCGATGCCCAGAGCCTGCAAAACACTGTGGTCAGACAAAATTTGATTCATATCCTGGTTTGAAAAAAATCTTGTTAATCTTGCAAGTCTTACACTGGAGTTGGGCTTTTTTGACAAGACTGAAGAAATGGGCTGGTGTGAGAGGTGGCACAGAATGTCCTTTTCTTTAAATTTGGCTTTAAAACTTTAAAATAAATGCATTTCCCAATACAAATCAAAACTTACAAAGTAGGATAACCCACCTACCCTCTTCCCCTCTTCCCTCCCCTCCCCTCCCCTCTTCTCTCTCTCTCTCTCTCTCTCTTGCCTCATCTCTTCTGTATTCTCCCTTTGAAGCCCACTGGATTAAAAGTGCTTCTGCTCTGCTCTCCCCTCTCCTCCTGTGAAGGCCTGTCCTGTGTAGGCATCCTCAGGTGACCTCTGCTCTGCCTCCGGTGCTCACTGCTTGTCCCCTGCACGGCTTGAGCTTTGCCTGTGGACTGGCACAGATTCTAAAAATGCTGATGAAAGAGCTAACTCTTTCCCTGGAAGGATGCACATACAGCGCAGATACCTGGACATAATTACAGGTGTTCAGGAAACTCTGAAAGCATAGTGAGCCATCTGCTCTAGGCAGAGACACATTAATCTAAATAATTGAAGTCAGAACCCTAAAATGAACACCATACCTGACTTTCTTACAACTTGGAAAAGAGGCCTCCTGGACGCATGTCCGTTCTGTTGTCTGGTATGACGGGAATAAATGTGTCATCCATTTGTGATTTCATGAGGACTTAATTACTCCTAAGTGAGATTAACCCAAACAGGCATATTTGACTGACTTTCATTCCTCAGAACTACTCTTATTTTGGATTTCATCAGTGGAGACTCAGCTTACATCTTAGAAATGCCCTATATTCCTCACCTGGTCAGAGATTTAGTCTAATAATGCAATTTTCTCTCCTTGCAGATTGTAATTTGGGGACTGGGTGCCCCATTGCATTTATAATGCATCATTTATTATGTTTTGGGTGTCTACCTCTCAGCCTTTGAGTTAAGAAATGATGATTTCAATCATCGTCACATCATAATCGTCACTGTTACCTTGGTGGAGGTGCTGGGGATAAAACCCAGGACCTCCAGACAAGCATGAACTTTCTCCACGGAGTTACACCCTACAAATTGCTTGTTCATTTATTTTTCAGAAAGACAGTGATTTGGAAAGGGGCCCTGATGAGAAACTGGATGAAAACCAGCACTTTGATCTAAGGAGTGAGCCCCAGAGTCTTCCCTGGACCAGGAAAGTGTATGAGTTCTACAGCGCCCCTATTGTCAAGTTTTGGTTTTACACGGTTGGTCTCCTTGCGGCAGCGCCTTTTGTATTAATGATAATTCTTGGCTAATGATAGTACTGGTAGTGATACGCTTGACTTACCAACCTGCAGTAGAAGTCTAGAAATGTTGTATAGATTGGTGGGAGGATGAGACAGGAGACAGGGAGGAGAGTCAGAGGAAGATGAGGGAAGCTAGAGCAGAGCTCACGTGCTGTGGGAACTTGAGAACAGCACCGCCTCCTTTCTGGGAGCGCTGGCAGTCGGCGTGACTGACACTGGGCATTGGAGCTGTGCTAGCAAAGCAAAAATGTGAGCATTCCTGGATCAAATTTTTAAGATTGGAAGGAAACAAACAGTCAGAAGCAATACTACCTATTAACTATCTGGTCACCATGGAACCAAGAACAAAAATGTAAGCAAATGACTTGGTAGAATGATTTACTTGAGTTATATCCTTAAGGAGTCCTCAAAATGACTCAGACTCCATGGGCTGGGGTTGCTCCGTGAGAGAGAGAGAGAGAGCGAGAGCGAGAGAGAGAGAGAGAGAGAGAGAGAGAGAGAGAGAGCTTGCCGAGCACGCTTGAGGCCCTGGGTTCCACCAAAGCACTGAGAAAACAGACAAACACAGGAACACACCCTCAGACTCTGGGACACAGACCAGAAGAGTACAGAGTTAATGGGCACGGTTTTAACTTTCTTATACACTTCTCTCCTGCTTCGATACTCAGAGGTAGCAATACCCACTGGGACTACCCCAAATGTCACTTGAAAACATTATCCTAGTATACAGAGACTCAAACAACCACTCCTTACATTGTGTTGGTGCAGAACTCAACTTAGAAAGAGACTTAGTAACTTGCAGTTCAAAAGGACATGAAAAAAGGGGCCCAAGTTGAAATGTTGCCTGTGAGACCCAACACACCCACACATTGCTCTCCCTCCACATCATTTTTCCAGCATGTAAGCACTGCCCGGTGAGTGCTGCTTACAGGCTGTGTGGGTCATGTACTGTGGGTGGCTATTGCTCAGACTTTTCAGCTGATGATTCGGTAATGTTTGTCTCAGTTTTAATGTGCATGCCCAGCTATAAGAATGCGTTTTTAAAAAGATAAGGGCATTAGATAAGTTCGTAAGCTGTTAGTCACTCTGTAGATATGTGTTTTAATTCTTTGGACAGGTTAGAGTCTAGCAATAATGTATACAGTTAGCAATCCAGCAAGCATTTGTGGAATGTCCAGCATGTGTCCGCTAAGTGCTGTTAATATTCACAACCATTCCTCGAATATAAGAGCTTCCAGTGGGGTAAAATTTCTATTAACCAGACTATTTTAATCAATATAAAATAAAACTCCAGGCAGCAGTAACTGTGACAGTTCATCACATTTGGAAAGATGCCGCCACTGATTGTGGTGGCATTGGGACCTGTGTGTTCAAGGGGGGCGGTTGTAGATGTCACCCTGGGCTTGCTGATAGCTGCCATGGTCACGCTGGGGCGTGCAGGGCCTGGGGACACCGGTCAGAAGGTAACAGCCGGAAGGTGGCAGCATCTCCTTCCATGCATCTGAGAACACTGATGTTCGTTCCTGCCACGAAAGCCTTACACCAGAAAACCGTTGATTCTCACGCTTGTTTGGATCCCGGGTCATCAGCAGTCACTAGAGGGCCCTAGCAATGTTCTCGGGTTATCGTGTTGTGTTTCTGTGCAGCCCTGTCTGTGTCTGCCCGGGCCCTGTGTCACCCACACTCACATCCAGGGCGTGTGTGTCCCCTCACAGATGGCATACTTGGCATTCCTCATGCTGTTTACTTACACTGTGTTGGTGGAGATGCAGCCCCAACCCAGCGTGCAAGAGTGGCTTGTTATCACTTATATCTTCTCCAGTGCTATTGAGAAAGTCAGGGAGGTGAGTTCCATTCTACCTTTGCTCTCTGTAGCCCTCGTCCCTGCTGGTGGAAGTGACAGCAAGGCTGGGAGGGAGAGAGGAAGGGCCGGTCCTGACGGGCATGTGATAAGAAGGGTATTCTGGGGGAATTCCTGATTCCAGCCCTGCGTCCTAGCCATGTGCTCTCTACTGGGCGCTAGACTTCGGGAGGCGTCGTCTTTGAAGGAGAGATCTCAGTGCATTTATCAGTCCTAGAGTCCTAGTGGCCTTTTTTTTTTGTTTTGCAGGATTGACTTTTTGGCCTGATAATTATCTATGTATTGCGAGTTTCACCCCACAGAGTGGCATATAAATAGCCCATGTTATATGATAAATAAGGAAAGCATGAATGGTGTTTAAAGATTCCTGTTCCCGAAAACTGAAACCAAAACCATAGTCCAAGAGCCAAAGCAAAACAACATTTAATTTCTAGGTCACAATTAGTCTCTTAAGAATTAATATTCTAACGCTATTATAATTGCATTCCCCAAAAGTTTTGACCTAAGACTTAGATGTCAATGTATATGTATTTTTATGTGTATGCATTCACATATATTTTGGCCTAGATATATATAATTTGACCCCATTATGTACAAGTCAATGTTTTCTTACTAATTATATGTATATTGCTTGCTGGTTACCTAGAGGGAGTTTATTGGCCACAGAAAATAATTCAAGAGATAAATATTACCTGAGCTCCCCCTTGTATATACTTCATGGAAGAGAGGGTCACTGTTTTACATGTAGGTTTTGTCTGACTGTATTTCATTGGTTATTTCTCACAATAGTGAGTCCCAGCAACACATTCTTAGCCTATCAGCAAGCAGCTCGCTTCATGGCAGGTGCAGGAGGCCTTGCTTCCTGCCCAGTGTTCTTTGTGGTCTGTGGGCCCTCGTGAGCGGGACCAAGCACCAGCTGTGCAGATCCATTGTGGTACTAGGTTTTGAGTGTCTCAGTACTTCTCCATGTCAGTTTAGGATTAGTGAGAACTACAAACAGCACTTTTCTTTTTTTAAAAAGAATTTTCCAGTTGAGTTTTCAAGTGACTGTCCAACATTCATGGCTTAGTTTTGTTTTTTTTGTGTGTGTTTTTTTGGTGCTGGGAATCCAAGGACCTTAAGCTTGCCAGGCAGGCGCTTATGCCTTTGAGCTATATCCTTGGCCTTAATTTTTATTACTGTAACCAAAAGGCATTAAATATGAGAATTTAAATAACTTAGTTCTGAGGGGAACTTAAGTCTCAGTTCCCTGCGTGGTGTTTTAGATCGCTCTTTAAAGGAGTAGGTGATGCTTAGAAAGATGACAGTGCTGGAATCTCCGGTTTTAGACCCTCACCCCTGCCTGTGCCAGGCGCTGCCCATGAGCTCCGCCCAGGCCCGCTGCAGCATCTTCTCTGCCCTGTCCTTGCCTGGTACAGCAGAGGCCATCACCTCCGAGTCATTCTGTGAGGCTTCTCTCTTTCTTCTTTTAGATATGTATTTCAGAACCGGAGAAGTTGACGCAGAAGTTGAAGGTGTGGCTGAGTGAGTACTGGAACCTAATGGAAACTGTGGCCATTGGTCTGTTTGCAGTTGGTTTTTGCCTCCGGTGGGGTGACCCTCCTTTTCACACAGCGGGGCGACTCATCTACTGCATAGACACCATTTTCTGGTTCTCCCGGCTCTTGGACTTCTTTGCCGTCAATCAGCACGCAGGTCCTTATGTCACTATGATCGCCAAGATGGTGAGTGAGGCCCCTTTCAGGCGTGAATGTCTTTGCTAGTGGTTTGCCCTGATTTTGGGGCTCCTGCTCGACAGTTCGCCTTTTCTAAACTAGAGATCCAAGGAAGGGAAGTCTGCCTTCAGAGTCCTGCAGCCCTCCCTTCTCTGCAGACTTTCTCTGTTTCTTCCCTTCCCTCCCCTTCCAGAACTTGCTGCTTCCCTGCACTGAGACTTCCAGAAGGCAAAGCTAGGGGTGGGCTGAAGCTGTCCTCTAGAGGGATCTCAGGTACTCAGGAGCAGTCACAACAGGGGACGTGCTAGTCTGTATTTCTAAAAGTGCAGACAGGGAGATCTTCTCATCTCTGCTTCCCATGTGACCACAGGGTCCCTGGGCAGCACGCTGGGCACACCACTCACCCCTTTGGTGAGGCCCGGACCATAGAGATTTGAGTTGAATTCATCCTGGAGCATGGTAGTTCTGCAGGGCTTGATTTAGTGAAGCTGTCACCAATACTGGTGTTCTCCGTGAAAATGTCAACTTATCACCCACTGACTCACTTTCGCCACCACAGTTGGGAGCAGTGCTTGCTGTGTGCCTCTAAGTTCTTTGTGTGTTTTAATCATTTCATCTCTGTCACAGCTGTAGGAAATAAGTGATGTCACCACCCACATTTTTGATGCAGAAAAGTAGAGGTGATACGAATTTTTCCAGGGCAGTGCAGGGGGTCCAGCTGGCGTCCTCCGTGCCCTGAGCTCGCTGTGCAGCACGTCCCCTGCTGTGACTGCTCCTGAGTACCCGAGATCCCTCTAGAGGACAGCTTCAGACCACCCCTGGCTTTGCCTTCTGGAAGTCTCAGAGCAGCGAAGCAGCAAGTTCTGGAAGGGGAGGGATGGGGAGAAACAGAGAAAGTCTGCAGAGAAGGGAGGGCTGCAGGACTCTGAAGGCAGACTTCCCTTTGTTGGTTCTCTTCTCTTAGACCGGAAATATGTTCTCTGGTCTTGGGAACATTGGTACTTATCAGGGGGAACATGCTGAAGAATCCAGGGCACCTCAGGCCCTTTCTCCTAACAGCAAGGTTCTGTGGGTGCTTTGGCCCCTCTATTTTGTAGCATAGCTATGTCTGTTTGTAAGTTTGTGGCTCCCTAAGGTCTTCCAGGGCAGGGAATGAGGGTGACAAAGAAAGCCTAGTGGCTGTTAAATTTTGGGCCCACATAACTGTCAGTTTACAGCCCAGCGTCTGGCATGGAGCTCACGGCCCCAACCTAGTGGAAGCGAGATAGGAAGTGTCCAGACATTCATAGAGTACAGCAGGAAATTCTGACAAATATTATCACTGCCACAATGAACAAATAGATTGAGCTGCTGTGTGTTTAGCAGCTGAAAGGGAACTGGACTGATCAGTTTCTGAGTCTTTATTTCAGAAGGTAATCCTGGGCATAGGAGGCATCAGACCGATCTGAATATACTTGAAATACTCTTCCTTTTCCTAAACTGGTCCTTTTCCTAAATTTCTGGTCCAACTGTTGAAAAGTTGGATGTTAGCTAGTCAGAAGCTGTTCACATTTCATGACTGCTTCAAGACAAGCACACATCCTGTAGTCTCAGCAAATTTATGTGATTCCAAAGATCACATTGCTTGAAACACATTTGTGCAGAAGAAAAGAGAAAACAAAATAGTTTAACCCAAGAAAATCCAGCAGTGTGTGGGCTAGTGCATTTTAATAAAAGACTACTCTTTTTTGCCCCCTTTTTTGTCCTCTGTACTAAGTTAAACCTGGGTCTTTGCATTGAGCTACCTCCCCAGCCCTTTTAAAACTTTGAGACAGGGTCTTGCTAAATCGCCCCAGGCTGGACTTGAACTTGAGATTGTCTGACCTCAGCCTCTCAGAGTGCTGGGATGAGCGGGGTGCACCACCTGCTCAGCTTAGCAGTCTCATTTGATAAGTGTAGTTACGATGGTCACGAGAGTGTGAGTTGTTCTGAGTTTCGAATCTGTGGTGCAGCTTCGGTTGCGTGGTGCTGTTTTTCAGAGTGCGAACATGTTCTACATTGTGATCATAATGGCCATCGTCCTGCTGAGCTTCGGGGTGGCCCGCAAAGCTATCCTTTCCCCACATGAGCCTCCTTCTTGGAAACTCGCTCGAGATGTTGTGTTTGAACCATATTGGATGATGTACGGGGAGGTCTACGCTTCGGAGATAGATGGTACGCGCGGGTCTTCAATGTCATGTGGAAACTGAATCTTTGTAGATGCTCAGGCTAAAAAAAATTGGGAAAGTAATCCCCTGAGTCATTGTATTGTGATCAGACAGGGTTTCACTATGTGGTTTAGGCTGGCTTTGAACTCCTAGCAGTCCTCCTGTCTCAGCCTCCTGAGTGCTGAGATCACAGGTGGGCAAAGCCCCCCCCCCCCCCCGGCTGAATCTTATTTTAGTTTATTAGTTCACAGTGGTGGTGCCTAGCATTTCCATGCCTCGTGTGGAGCGCACATCTTGATCCCCTGTCCCTCCCCTCGGCCCTTGTCTTTATGTCCTTTCTTTTCTTCATACATCTTTGGGGTACGCAGTGTGCACAGCCTTCCTGTGCAGCCTTCACAGGCAGCACACGGCCTAATTCCTTCTGTTGTTGTCATCTCCTGTGCCTGCCCTTGGGCCCACCTCTCTGCCCTTTGATCCCCGTCCCCTCCCGTCTCCCCGCTTCCTGGTATCTGTTTTTCTTTACTCTTATTTTTACTCTGCGTTTCTCACAAAGGAGAAACCAGGTGACATCTGCATCTCACCATAGGTTGGAGTCTCATGGTGCATGACTCCTCTGTCATCTTTATGGCAGTCACGACTCCATTAAGATTCATCCGCTGATTCTTAGCAACGGAGAACCTCCAGCTCGTCCCTGTGTGTGTGCTGGGGGTGCAGGTCCGTGCTGTCCTCCCCTCACTCTCCTCTGTTCTCTGTCCGCAGTCTGTGAGGAGGACCCCTTGTGCCCACCGGGCTCCTTCCTCACCCCGTTCCTGCAGGCCGTCTACCTTTTCGTGCAGTACATCATCATGGTGAACCTGCTGATTGCCTTCTTCAAGTAGGTGACTTCAGGTTCAGGGAAATGGGGACAGGCGTGCGGAGTGGGCTCCTGAGCTCATGGGGCGGGTGGCTTTGCCTGCTGTGGGTGGTGGCCTTCATGCTTGGGCAGGACACTCCTGCCTGGCAGGACGGGCAAGGCCACAGGGATACGGTGGCATCCTGGGAAGCACAGGAACAGTGGCCTAGAGCAGGCAGGGTGCAGTCCAGCCAGAGTTGGGCCCCTGTGGGATGGAGGAGCCGGAGCCGGGTGCTGGCCACGGACTCAGAATACTTTCTTGATTCTGCTCCAGCGTTGTTTTTCCTGTTTCCTTCTCTTGCTTTGCCTTCAGCCTCCTCTGCAGGTCACCCTCCTTCCCCACCCAGCCTTTCACATGAAGTGTCTCTGAGCCCAAACGTTGCTCTGCCTCGGTTTAGTCTTTTTTTCTGTGACCTTGTGTGTTTCCGTGTACATTGTGACAGGCACTGCTGGACATCTCCAGCCCAGCTCTCTGTAAGCTCCGGCCCCATGCACCCTGTCCCCCTTCCTTTTTGAGCCCTAAAAGTGAGGCCTCAAGCTCGTGGCCTCTCCTCTCCCTAACCTTGAGCTGCCCGGCTCGGTTTTACCCACGGGAGTGCTTCCTGCTGCCCATCACTGCTGTGGAGCCTCCTAATTTAATTCTCTGCTTCTGTTTTTGGTTTTTCTCTTCTGTTTGCAACCCAGAGCCTTTAAAAACATCTCACGACTCTAATATCATGACCTGAGTGACCCCCGGGGATGTGGCTTCCCTGAGGTCTCCCAAGTCACTCTCCATGCTCCTCCTAACTCATTCCCCTGCAGCCTCACTGGCCGCCGCGGAGGCTCTGCTAACGTCTTTGTAAACGTTAGGTCCAACTGGGCATTGCAGGTAGAAACTCAGCTCGCCTCTCTGCCCTCGCCACAGAGCGCCCAGGCTCTTCCTGGCCTCTCCATGCAGATGCTGGGACAGTGTTCGTTTCAGATGTCACTGTTCTCTGTTTCCTGATACCTCTGCTGGGACATGAGCTCCGAGTAGAGGTCATTTTCTTTCATTTGTCTGAAGCCCTCTTTATTTTATCGGTATACTATAGATGCACAATGATTCATCATAGGGAATTAGTACCTGCACATGGTGTACTGTGATTCTTCTTTCTTCCCATTCCCCTCCTGTCAATCCCTTTTTCCCTCCTTATTTACAAAAGTTTGGATTCCATTTTTTACTTTTATTTCTTTTTTTGTTTCCCTTCCCTTATTCCCCTTCTCATGTGAACATTTTGTTACCATTTCCCAATATCTACTGTACATTTTGGTCCTTATTTACACTTTGAGTTTCTCACGCCAGAGACACACATTTAAATGTGTGTCTGGTTTATTTCACCTAAGAGTATGTCCTCAAGGTGCAATAATCTAGCTAGAAATGTCTCAAGTTTATCCTTCTTTATGGCAGAGTAATAGTTTATTGCATAACAAAAAAACCCCATATATTTTAGCCATTCATCAGTTGATGGGCATTTGGGTTGTTTCCAAGATTTAGTTATTATAAGTTGTGCTGCTATAATCATAGGTGTGCATATATTGCTGTGGAATTATGCTTTTAATTTTTTAGGAAGATACCAAGAAGGGGAATAGCTGGGTTGAATAGGACCTCTAGTCTTAGTTTTTTTGAGGAATCTCCACACTGGTTTTTACAGTAGTTGCACCAGTCTACACGCCCACCAACAGTGGAGAAAGATTCCTTTTCCCTCAGAGCCCTCCACTGTTTGTTATTGGTTGATTTCTTGATGACAGCCGTTCTTTTTGGAGGAGATGGAATCTCAGTGTTGTTTTAATTTGCATCTTTCAAATGATCAGTGATTGAACATTTTTTTCATGTATTTATTTGGCATTTGTACTTGTTCACCTGAGAACTGTCCATTCATTTCAGATGCCCGTTTTTTAACTGGGTCTTTAAATTCAGGACATCCGATTTTTTGAGTTCTTTGTAGATTCTGGATGGTAGTCCTTTATCTGAGGAACTGCTGGCAAAAAATTTTCCCCAGTGGTTTCTCTTGCTGTGTAAAAGCTTTCAAGATTTCAGTTGTTGAGTCTGTGGTAGTTCCTGTGTGACTGGGGTTTTGTTCATGACATCTTTGCCCACACCTGTGTCTTCTACCTGGTCTATCTTCCAGCAGATTTAGTGTTTCAGTGTTAATGTTTAGACCTTTGATGCACTTCTATTTTAGTGTAGTGCATGGTGATAGACATGGGTCTAGTTTTAGTCTTGGCATGTGGAAAGCCAGCTTTCCCATCCCCATTTATTGATGAGGCTTTCTTACAGTAAAGACATTTGGCTCCTTTGTCAAAGGTAAGGTAACTGAGTGTGTTTGGAGTTGTTTCTATATCTTCTAATCTGTTCCCCATATCGTCTGGTCTTTTTTTTTTTTTATTTTTACCAGCACCATGCTGTTTTTCTCACAGCAGCTTTGTAGTATAATTTCAAGGCAGGGATTGTGATGTCCCCTATTTGCCTTTGTTGCCCAGGATTGTTTTTACTATTCTAGATCTCTTTTGATCCCAAGTTACATTTAGGGTTAATTCTGTGAGGTATGTATTGGTATTTTTATTGGGATTGCATTTAACAATTTGGAAGTATGGCCATTTTCACTGTATTGGTTCTTCCTATCCAAGAACAAGGGATAGATATTTTCTGATATCCAATTCGATCTCCTTTTTCAGAGTACTTAGTTTTCAATGTAAAGATCTTTCACTTCCTTCATTAAAATCATTCATAGGTATTTTAGTTTTTAAATGAAATTGTGAAGGGCGTTGTTTCCCTAATTTGTCAGTGAGTTTGTTGTTCATGTACAGGAAGGCTGTTGATTTTTGAGTGTTGGTTTTTTCATGCAGCTACTGTACTGAATTTGGTCATTAAATCTTGAAGTCTTTTAGTGGAGTTTTTGGGATTCAAGTAATTTTCTATTTTGTTTTGTGCGTAAGTTTATTCCTAACACATTAAGATTAACTTAAGTAGCATCATCCTTAATGACTTAATGACTTTAATACATGTTGAGTTGATGAAAGAGGCCAAATGAAGTTGGGGGGACACAGGTGGCACTTTCTAAAAGCCTCTTCTATGCCACCATGTGGGGTATTTTATCCACTGATTATCTCAATGATGAATGAAAGATAAAGGGAAAATTAATACTTAGAATCAAAGAAAGTAGAAAAGGTAGGGGCTGGAGGTAGACAAAAATTCAAAATACTTTTACAAAGGGATGTAGTGGAGAAGAACATCTTTTCCTGGTTGTTTTTAGTCTATACTGTCAGATAACATCTCTCTGAGCCCTACCATTAGGACGGTATAGTAGTTTTGGTGTTCAGATAGTCATTTTGGATAGTTCAACTAATTCTAAGATACTGTGTTCAACTAATTCTAAGATACTGTGTTTTCTCAAAAAACAGAAGGTATTGCATGGTTTCTTTTCTATAAGAAACTCAAAATATAAATGGTTTAAAGAGCTAAAACAGAGGTGATAGGATGCAGGGAGATGGGAAGGAGGTCTGGGGTGGAGAGAGGGGGAGGAGAAGCAAGATCCATGGGGTGCGGTGTGCATACCTTCTGGTTCCCAGGGCTGAGTGGAATTATTATGTATGCAAACAAATACTAATAAGAAGGAAATTTTTAAAATGCAAGGCATCCAGAGCTGTCGAGAAATCCTTACGTAGAACCATCTTCTTATGCAGAAGGGGCCCACACTGGGACCCAAGCAATCTGAGAAATCCTAAGCCTCAATCTTTGTATGGAGCCTTTTGGGGACAGAATTCATCGCAGACTAGAAAGAGCCTGACATAGGCTGTAAAGAGCGCCACCTGCTGGCGGGCAGGCTGCAGCGGTGTTGGGGGCTCACTTGCAATTGAGCAGCCTTCAATCATGGCGGTGCCCGCTGGGAGACCCATGGTTCTGGAATGGTCATCTGCATGTCCATCGTTTACTCCTGGACCATGTGAGAGTTCCCCTTCCTTTGCAGGCTTCTTTTGGGATAGCTCAGCCCGTTCCCTTTATCACAGTTCAGTGAAGCCTGCTTGGTGCCCTACTCTAGTTCTCTGCTATCTGTGTCCAAAGCAGACTCGTTTTATTGGTCTAATCAATGTGTTCAGTAGCTGTTCTCTTGAGTCTTCCCTCATAGGCTGTGTGCTGAAGTCATTAGGGATGATGTTAAGTTATTCTTTTTTTTTTAAATTTTTTAAAAATTTATTTAAGGAGAAAAAAAAAACAGAGAAAGGGTACAAGTTATACAGATTTACAGAAAAAAATAAACAGTAGGAAATCCCTAGTTAGTGGATTACATATTGTCATCTTAAAAATAATTGTTCAAGTCACAAAATTATAACATGTAAAGTGGACAGTCCAACAGTGAGACTGCAAACAGTTCTGTTCAATGATCCAATAAAACTCAGTGATATCATTTTCTATCTTATACACTTAAATATGCATACAGTTATATAGTTTAGAGCACTTTCTTTTCCTCTCTTTTGTACAATGACTATTACACATTTTGGGTTTTATTGCTCGCACGGTTCTTATTACTTTTTTGGAAGAGAGTAAAACCAAATGTGACATAACAGAACAGTCAGTCAAATCAAAAGGGTGGACATAATAGATAATGTAAGAACATAATACAAGGTGATCAACAATGGTTACCATAATGCCTCCCGCTATCTCTAATAGAATTGCCTATATCATCAGTTATAATAAAATTGAACAAAACAGTAAAGAACAAAACTGACAAACCAAAACATTGGAGACATTATAGGTCTTCAAAAGTAGATAAAAGTCATCGAGAATGGGCGTCATAATGAATCTCACTATCTTCACAGCTGTTGCCTAAACTTTTGAATCTGGTACTATCAAGCAAAACAGAATAGGGGGACATCAGTAAAAAACAAGATGGTGAGAGTAATACAGGGCTTTAAATCAAGATAATGGAAAGGCAAAGTGGGTTACTATAATATATCCTGCTATTTTTATTTATTTTTCCCTTAATTAAAAGGATGAAAATAAAAAAGTAAATAATGGAGTGGAGATTGAGATAAAAGAGGGCATAACACTGAAACAGTGCAGATCGAAACATAACCATTTAAGCAGAATAGTGTTTCACCACAAGATAATCCTGACATAAAAGTAGTTACCATATTATCTCTTTCCTTGAAATTCTTGAGTACAACTTCGCATACTGTAGCATCAAATATATCAAAACAATGTAAAACCATTTAAGAGAATGACAGCATTACAGGATATGTAGAATCAACTAATAGAAAATGAACAATGGTTTCTGTATAATCTCCTTGTCTTTAAAAGTTTTTGCCTATACTATCGTACATAAAAAAATCCAATAAGATACAACCTGTTTAGATCAATGGAGACAGAAGAACAAAAGCTTGATGAGACTTCAAAACAAGATGATACTAAATCAGTATTACCTATTAAGATGTCATTTTCTCCAAAATAGCTGTTCGTATCATCCAATCTTCTCTGCCTCATTTCTGTTGAGCTCTTTTTCTGTCATTAGTTGTCAGTTTGTCTTCTTCATTTTGTTCTCTGCTCCATTCATTGTGGTCTCCCCGCCACTATTTCTGGATTCTTTGTATTTTTCTTTTTTAGAATATCCTGCAGTACTCTCTGTAGAGTTGAATTGTTGGTTGCATATTCCCCCAGTTCTCTTTATCCTGGAAGCACCTTGTTTTTCCATCAATTTCCAGGGACAATTGTGCAGGATATATCAATCTTGGCTGGAGATTATTATCTTTCAAAGCTTGAATTATTTCTCCCCACGCTCTTCGTGATTTGATGGTTTGTGCAGAGAAATCTGCTGTAATTCTGATGGGTGTTCCCTTGTAAGTGGTCTGTTTCTTGTCTCTGACAGCTTTTAGTATTCTGTTCTTATATTGAATTTCTGGAATTTTTATTATTATATGCCTGGGTGTTGCTCTGTTTGGGTTGTAGGTGGCTGGGGTCCTGTATGCCTCATACATCTGAGTATCTTTACCTTTTGCTAAATTAGGAAAAATCTCCTGGATTATTTCTGTGAATAGCTTTTGTAGTCCATTTGTTTGTGTCCCTACTTCTTCTTTTATGTTCTTAATTCTTAAGTTATGGATCCTCTTATCATCTTCTAGTCTTTGTATTATTGCTGTTTGTTTCTTTGTTACTTTTAAGAAGTTTTTCATTTCATTCTCCCATATTACAAATCTGCCCTCCAGTTCAGATAGTCTGTCCTTAGTTTCTTTCAAGCTGTTATGCCAGTTTTCGATAGAGTTTTTAGTTTCCTGGTAGTCCCTTTGAACCTGCTTCACGTATTCTATGCTTTCTCTATTTTCTCCATCTAACAATTCTCCCCTCTTTTTCTGTTCTTCCATTCCACCATCTGTTTTTTCTTGGGTGGTGCTTAGCATTTCTCTAACTATTCTGCTTACTTCTAGCTTCAGGTCATTAATAACTTCATTCCTGAACTGATCTATGAGGCTCTCTAGATGGTGCTTTATGTCTATTGGTGCGGTGTCCGCTATTGCCTGTTTCTCAGGATTGGGGGCCGAGGAGCCTTTCTTGTTGCTGCCTCTTCCCATATTCTTTGTTCCTTTTATATGCAAGTGTATATAGGAGGCCCAGCTCCCCTCCCTGTCAGCCACAGCCTGATCGAATTGCACCGGCTAGGTGTTCCCGCCCACCGCAGCACACCAGGAAGTTGCAAACCAGGCAGCCTACGTGGGGCCCGCCTCTCCATGCCACCCTCAGGCTCTGGGATCTGGGTTGGGCTAGCCTACTGGGTCTCAGCCAGCAGCGTCACGTAGGCTAGGCACTTCTCACTAATCCCGCTTGAGAGGGGATACGTGGCTGAAGCTGCAACACCCCGCTCCCGCAAGTCTGCCCAGTCCCAGAATGTCCTCTGTTGGAGTCTCCCAAACTGTGGGAAGAGTGTCAGTTTCTCTCACTCACCTCACCGCAAGTCAATCCACGGCTCCCTGCCTGTCCTGTTTTCAACTCTGTTCGCCGATTCCGGTTCTCAGGTCTCTCTCCCTGCCGAGCCGATGTAGACGCAGCCGCCGCATGGCGGGAAACCCAAATCGCGGCTTCCAATGGCGCGGGCTCCAGCCTCCACACTGAGGCCCCTCTGTTCCTGTTCTAGCACCAGGACTGCATTCCAAGTTGGTTTGTCTCAGCCCAGTTCGTTCCTGGGTCAGCAGAGCATATCTCCACTTGTTATGACTCCTTACTCCGCACCATTCCTGATTACTAAGCCAAGTCTTTCAAAGAGCCTCCGTAGCTGCTGCTATCTGTCCGCCATGTTCTCCCGGAAGTCGATGTTAAGTTATTCTTAAATAACTGTACACCTGCCATCTCGAGTTCTATATCAGTATTCCCTCTCTTGCAGATATTTAAGCAGAAGTCCAAAACAGACCAGTAAGAAGAAGTTACCTTTACTGTAAAGTTAATCTTACTCACTGAGCTTCTTTGAGCTCTCTATTTATTTTAGGACAGATCGGTTCTTCTTTTTTTGAGGGAGTTCCTCTCCCTCAACAATCCTGTGCTGGTTGGGTGTCTTAGCAGGAGCTGTTCCAGCAGTGCTGGGTTTGACCTTAGGAGCCTCTCTTCATGAGGTCTGAGTAGCACGGGTGCTGCTCACAGTGACCCCGCAGGTCATGGACTGGGAAAGGTTTCTTAGCCAATCGATTGGCAGTACCAAGGGCAGTAGGGTGGTTTCACATATTTCCCTTCCTAGGCTTTCACCGTGATTTCTGCCTTTGCTTGTGGTTCTGCCCAGCACGGCTTATACGTAAAGCTGACTGTGCATTCTGCTCAGTGGAGCATGGCCAGCTCAGGGGATGCTGTCCACTCGTTGTGGCCTCCTGGTCGGGAGGGCAGGGAAGATGGGGGGGGGTGCTGTGTCTCATGGCCCTGTGCTCCCCGGCTTGCAGCAACGTGTACCTGGAGATGCGGGCCTTCTCACACAACCTATGGCAGTTCAACCGCTACCGCTACACCATGACCTACCACAAGAAGCCCCTGCTGCCGCCGCCGCTCATCCTGCTCAGCCACCTGGGCCTGCTGCTCCGCAGGCTGTGCCGCCGCCGGGCCCCGAGGGACCGTGACGCGGGCGACCTTGGGCTGAGTGAGTGCCGTGGGGGCTGGGCAGAGGGGAGGCGACACTCCCGGCTGCCTGCTCGGGATGCACCCTGGGCCAGGATGGAACTGAACCTGCCCAGGGACGTGCAAAGGCTTGAGTTCCTTTGCTGAACCCCACAGGAGCTCACACCAGCTGTTCCCGGGGCCAGGTCCTTGCTGCGTGGAGCTGAACAGGGGACGCGGCAGGGCATGCAAGGCCCAGGCCATGGGTTCTATTGGGTCTCAGGGCCTCCGCAGCTCCTGTCGGGGTAGGCTGTCTACTAAAAGCCTCAAATTCACAGGGCAATCATAAGCCTTCAAGGGTTCTTTGATTTGTGGAACAGGCAGGTTTCTGAAAGACACGTTTCTTCTTTTCATCTCAGGGTGCAGAAAAATGAAAATGTGGCTTCTCCTTTTGTTTCTTTTTAAAAAAGTCTACGTATTTTGACATTTTCCCAATGTGTTTTGTCTGGCCAAAGCTTTCTAGTTTTTTTTTTCTTCTGCAACAAAGCTTTCTAGTTTTTTTTTTTTCTTGCAACACTGGGGCTCAGACCCAGGCTGTTGAGCGCACTGTGAGCGCACTGTCTGAGAGCCGCTGTCCAGTCACTGTCAGCCAGGCCTCCGTGGTGTGATTTGACCACTGTGCCTGTCACTGGAAGGACACAGCGCCCCTTGAGCTTTCTCAGGACCCCTGTGGTTCCTGTCACAGTCCTGTAGTCGGGCCCAGACCCATCAGCAGGTGACCTTGCCTGCACACCCGGGAAGGGGTGACATAAGATCACAACCCTTTACTCAAATTCTCAGATCCGAAATACCGCTGAAGTCTGACTGCCTGTTTTCTTCATGAGCAAAGAAAGGTTCACTTGGCCGGAGGGCCCAGAAGAAAGAGCTTATGTAAAGACTTTCACCTTGTTACTTCTGATAGAGTCATTGATTCTGCCACCCTGGCCTGAACAATAGTTTACTTTATTTCATACATACTGTATTACTTTTCTAAAATTAGAATATTTCTGTCCTGAAGTAGCCCTGACTCCACTGGTTTCTGTAAGGGCAGACGGGTTGTTCGAATACTCCGGGGGTGTGTAAGGCCCAGGTCACCCTTCACGTGCAGTCTGCAATTGAGCATAGAACACCTGGGTGGGTAGTTGGTCCTGTGACCTGCTCTGCCCCGCTTAGGTTTTATAAGGAAGCTGAGCAAAATCAAAGTCCCCTTGAAGGCTTATGATTGCCCTGTGAATTTGAGGCTTTTAGTAGAGAGCCTACCCCGACAGGAGCTGTGGAGACCCTGAGACCCAATAGAAGAGCAGCAGTCACTTAGGAGAACCTGGAATCCTCCAGAATTTACTCGGATTTCCTAGTGCTATACGAAAGACACTTTACTGGGATCGTCCGTAACCAGGCTTCTGGGATGGTCCCATGCAAAACTCACGTTTAAGGACATTTTCTGGGCCTTTGCGTTAGAGGCCTTTACTGGCAGAGCAGCAGCGCCACCTGGCGGAACGTCTCAGAAACACCACCTACTGCAGGCACCTCCCGCAGACGCTCCTGGGCCATTGTAGTTTCCTGCTAAAGGAGATTCTTTGGTGCTAGCAGACTTGGAGCTGGGTGCGGGTGAGACAGACTGAATTTTTCAATGTCTGAAAAACTCCTCCACGTCATGTAAAGCAGAAAACGTTGTGTGCTTGAGTTATGAACTCAAGCCAGATACTACTTTCTTCATGCTGCAATTTTTCAACTGAAAATTAATATTCATTGTCCCTCACTTTACTGGGAGATAATGAAACATTTGCACTTTTAATAAATGCTATAGAAATGTGTCATTATTTTCCTCATAATTTAAGTGAAACTATCTATGAAAGAGAGCTTTGCCATTTTATCCTTTTAGCAACCTCATTTTATATTTTTATATTTTCCAAGTATTAGAAACTGGCTTGAAATATGGTGCATTTCCCTCTTAGAGAAGAGAGAGCCATGGTGCTAGCCTGAATGCTGAGGTTTGAGGAAAAATTGCAAGAGCTTCACAATATCACAGAATGCTGTATCTTTCAGTTATATCAGAGGAGGTATACAGCCTTGCTTGGTCATTGGCTGGGGATATTAATATCTTTTTTCCATGGAAGGGTGTTGTATATATGAGCTCAGGGTAACAAGGTAAAACTTCCTTATACTTACTGAGTTAATTTCAATAGAGTTTGCCTTCTTCTAGCATTGATTTTTACCTATAGGTCACTTATTGTCATTTTAATGGCTAGAGCAGTTAACAGAGAAAAACAATCAGATTCTCTCCCCATTTACATGTAAGTATGAATTTTTCATGTCTGAAAATATGAATTGTTCATGTCTGAAAACATTCTGATCTATGAAAATATGAGAGAGAAAATATCTGTTCTCTGTATGAATCCTTTTCAAGGAACAAGTAGGAGAGACCCAGCCTGGTGTTTCTAGCTGTTCTGTACATTGCTTCTGCAGGGATGTAATGTCGTGAGCTAAAGTTTATAATTTTTAATACAGGTGGGAGAAAATCTCCTTGTACCCTGTCTTACTGGGCTCATGTGCTGTGCCAGAATACCTGAGGCTGGGGACTTTATTAAAATAAAAGGTTACAGTTGACCTTTAACACCAAATGTTTGAACTTTGAGGATCCCTCAGGTGTGAGGCAGCTCCTTAAGCAGCAGCTCGCCAAGAAGTCCGCCAGGTCCTTCAGGCCTCGAGCAAGGAATTGGACGAGATAAGCCAAAAGTGGTGTCAAAAGTTTTATTTGGAAAGTGAGGGGTGAAGGGGTAAGGGAGAAACTGGCTCTGCAGAGCAAACGGTCTGAACAAAAGAAAAATGAATAAAAAGCAAAAAGTACAGCTTGTGTCCGGCAGACACAGGACGTGCTACCGTGAGTGGTCAAGAGCACTGGGCTTCCCTGGCTTCCGTGTGTCCTTATATACCGTCCACATCTCGTGAAAGCTCGCGAGAAGTTCCACATCCGGGCTCCCAGGAGTTATTTGGCGCTGCTCAGGGATCTTGTCCCCTTTATTTCTCCAGACAGGTGTGCCGGCCCTATCTCCGGTATCACATCTGTATGCAGAATCTTTCGCGATGCTTCTTCTAATTGCTTCATAATACAGCAGACAGTGTGGGTGGGGCACACATGGTAAAGCAGGGTGGTGACCTAGTGAGACAGGAAGCCAGAGGGCAGGAGGGCTGGGGTCCTCCAGTGTGGCCCTGTGGGAGCTGCGTCAGTCCCGTCTGTGGGTGGCATCCCGGGATCTAAAGGCCTCAGCACGGTGTCTCACCACCCTGGAACCAGGCTTCCAGCCCGTGAACCTTTTGGGGAAATACTCAAAGCATATCTGGTCCATAGATTGCTATTAAGGACAGAGACAAAAAAAGAAGCAAAAACGAAAACACCGATTCTTCATATGTGTGTGTGACTTATTTCCACAGAACTGTACCTGAGTACAGAGGATCTGAAAAAGCTTCACGATTTTGAAGAGCAGTGTGTGGAAAAATACTTCCATGAGAAAATGGAGCACCAGAATTGCAGTTTTGAGGAACGAATCCGCATGACGTCCGACAGGTAAAAATCTCCCAACTGCTGCTGACGTCTCTACTCCAGAACGTCTACAAGAGTAGAAAGCTCCACTGGGGAAACACAGAAGCTTGAGGCTGCCACAGTGAAGCATTTATTAGCAAGTGTGCTTCGTGTGGTCGGGCATATTGAACGAGAACCTGTCATGCTGTGGGCATTGTTGTTGGGCCTGGGCCTAGAGGTGGATCTAGGAGAGCTCCTCTGGTGGGAATCACCTTCCAGTGCATGCATGCGGGGCTGGACAGGGAGATGAAGGAGGTGGACAATACAAAATAAGGAAACACATAATTTAGTACTGGTGAGTGAGCTGTGAGAGAAAGGGATATGTTTGGGAGGTTGGGAAATGGTGCTGTGGGAGCTCAGGTTTGGGAGTTGGGTTGAAAGAGCTGGAGAGGAAAGTCTGGAGAGAAATAAAGGACTGCAGGAGGGCAGCAGTGAGGTCCTCGAGGAGGGGGTGGGGCCGGCAGGCTTCTGCCTGGGCGAGTCCATCATGTCAACTCCTGTGCCAAAAGCACAGTAAATCTGTGTGGTTGTGAAAATGACACACCGACAAGGGAGAAGCTGCAGATCAAAAAGGAAGAGGTGATTTGCAAAGAGAAATCTCTGGGCAGCCAGGGTGACCCAGGGCCTGGGCTTTTCCCACAGGAAAAGGACCAGAGGTGAGGGAGTGGGCCGTGGGCAGGAGGGTGCAGCTAGGGCACATCCGGGCTCTGGGCGCACAGCTGGGGGCCAAGCACAGCCTGGGGAGGTGCCTGCCCGAGGGGTGAGGGTGGGGAGGCCGTGTGAGGAAAGGGCTGATGTGCTGGAGAAGGGGTGAGTGAGGGGGCCCCGGGAGCAGAGCTGCTGTGAGCACGACTGATTGTCGCACCAGGCTCTGTTTAGAGAGGGAGGATGGAGTTATATGCATTTATTAAGCACAGAATTGTTCTTGGAAGTAGAAGCAGACTCTCAGAAGCTAACTGTGCGCCTTCATACCAGGTGTACACAAGAGTGACTATAAATCGTTAAATTCAGCTGTGCATCTTCTATCTCAAATGTCCAGATATTACCAGGTCTATTGCTAGGTCTGTGCTAACCCTTCCAGATGACTCTCTGTAAAGGTGACTCACGTTAGAGACTTCCTCAATGGCTCGCCCAGGCATAAGTCAGAGTTGGGGGTCCTCTACGACTTGGCTGATGTATTTCTGTAATAATGGAATATGTAGCAGGTTGAATTGTAGGTCATATTTAATACTGAGGAAAAGGTGAACATTAGGTTATTCATGAATCCACAAAGCTGTATGTAATCCAAATACCATCTTTTGCTCTCTGAGCTTCCCTTTCCTTCTTCCACACTGTCCTAGTCTCTCCCCCATTGCCAAGACACAACAACCGGGACTCACAGCTTCCAGGAGCAGAGATTCATTTTGGTTCACAGTTTCAGAAGTTTCAGCCCATGGTTGCTGGCTCAGCTGCAGGAATGATGGAAGGGCCCGGGCAGAGGAGGGATGCTCATGTCATAGCCAACAGGAAGCAGGGGAGCCTGGAGGACCGGTGGGGGGGGGGGCAGGGCCGGGGAGGTGCACCCTTCCAGGTCAGCCCCCCATGACCTACCTCCTCCGACCAGACTCCACTCCCAGCAGCACATTCCGCTTCAAAGTCCCCAGGATCCAGTGAGTTCTTGACCTAAACCATAACACTGTCCTGCCTCCTTGCAGCTGTGTGCATCCAGCCCTAGAGGCCAACCTGGTTCTCAGGTTTGTCCAATGTGTACCCCAATGTAGGAGTTTATAGAGTTGGGACAGAGTTCTTCTCTGCCACATACTAGCTGCATGTTCTTGGGAATGTACTTAGTGAGCCTCTTTGCACCTGGGTTTTTTTTTAAAATCCGTAAAAGAGGCAGGCAAATAGATGCACTTCTTCAGAGTACCTGGAGGATTAAATGAGTTAATGTAGATGGATTTGTAGCAAAGTGCTCTGAATAGTAAAGGTGCAAGAAAGCTTAACTGTTTGATGTGCAAGCAGATTGTAAAAATGTCAGGATAATTTCTTTAAAAATGTAAATCCCTTGTTGTACTCCCTAAAGAAAGGCCCTTGAGACAAAAAATGGGGCAAGACAACATCTTTTTAAAAGAAGCGCTTTTATTTTAGCTGGCCCAGTGACACAGTGCAGATGGAATTTGCAAAGCTGTGTGACTGAGTTAGAATTTTGACTGATTTTTATAGTTCATTTATGATTAGCTAATTGATCATTAAGTACATAGCGATGAGAAACAGAAACAAGGTGGGCCTTTCTTCCCCTTTGCTTGAGGTCAGAGACATTTCACAGTGGGTGGTTAGCCAATTCATAGGCCTTGGTCTGCCAATTCCAGGAACATTTGTCTCTCATAAAGGGAACAATGGTTAACACAGCATCATTTGACTCTTACAAGGGGAACAAAAGTTGACACAGCAAACAGGTTACTTGGGTGGGGGGAATGACGCATACAGAACAGCATGATGACGTGGTCAGTTAATCTATAACTGTGTGGTTGGTGCTTGATTACTAGGGCAATAAGCATAGAGCATGGCACCCTCTAGGAAGGGAGGTGCATGCCTGTAATCCTAGCACTAGGGAGGCTGAGGCAGGAGGATTGCCGTGAGTTCAAGGCCAAGCCTGGGCTACATAAGGAAGTTTAAGGCCATCCTTCACTATGTAGTGAGACTATCACAAAAAGCAAACAAAACCTCAAAAAACAAAAAATTTAAATTCCTTTCCAAACTTTAAGAAAAGGAGAAGAAATGGATCACATAAGGTCTACACCTCCCAAAATTATAGAGTCACTTACTTTAAAGCTAAGGAAGGATTTGAGGTGCCCAACTGTCTACGGATAGACTCGCCATCTCCTTTAGTTACAGTGTGAGAGAAAAGACAGGGGGACCGGGGAGTCTACCTTGGAGAATGGGACCGAGGGTGGATGAGTCCCACTGTGTGGCTGAGGTCTTGTGTGGGATTGAATGAGTGGGGTGGACTGGAAAGCTTAGCTGGTGAGGTGCGTCAGGGATTGGATGCAACTGAGATGGAGGATGGGGTCCAGGATGCTCTAGGGTCTGGAGTAGGGGTAACTTGGAAAAACACCTTCAAGATACAGAGTACAGTGCAGCAAAGGTGCGCAGGAAGAGCAGTGACTTTTATATTTATTGAGCTTGAGATTCCTTTGGGACAGTTAGCTAGAGAAGTCCAGGAAGCTTTGAATGTATGGATCGGAAGCCCTGGGTCAGCTTGGAAATGGACAAGGAGATCACCTACTTCTGGGGAGAGTCACTTGTGAGAATCATCTGTTTACACTAGGAATAAAGGTATCTGTTATGGTTTGTGTCTGGATGTCCCCCAAAGCTTCTTGTGGTCATGGAGTGCAGTTTGTTTTAGTGGTGACTGAATCTAGAGTGTGTGATTCGTCTGTTGCCTAGTGCTGGGATTAGGGGTGTGAGTGTTTTACTTGCCCTAGGGCGGGTAGCCTGCATTCATTATAAGGGAGGGAAAGAGGCTTGCTCTCTGCTCCTCCTCTGTTGGTCGCTTTTGCTGTCTTCTGCTGCCTTGGTGCCAGCAGATTATGGACTGAAACTTCTACAAACAGTGGGCTAAGTAAACCTTTCCTTCCTTAACTTTGGGCGTGAGGTATTTTGTCTCAGCAATGAGAGAAAAGTAACTAAGTATCACAGAAGAATAAAGTAGAACGGGACATCTCAGGGGCTGAGGTTGCACCCCTAGTGGTGCCAATACCTGGAAAGCGGGCAGGGCCAGAGGAGCTCTTAGAAGAGACTAAAAAGCTTTGACTGGAGAAGTACAGTGTAAGGAGAACTAGGAGAAAGTATGTCACACGCCAAGGAATGTAGAGTGAGCACAGGAGAAGCAGGCGCTTACAAACAAGTGACTCAGTGGTGATGATAATAAAACCCAGAGGACATTAATCATCACATGTCATTGCATTTTGCTTGCGTTCTTTCTTTGGGCTTTCAGGAGCAGATGAGACGTTACATGAGTATGTAGCTCCCAAGAACACTTCCAAGGAGTTTTTATTTTAGCAGTGGTAGTCTAATTTAACTTCAAGAGGTCCTCCATTTCTCCTCTTGATAGAGTTGTTTACATGACTGGTTTTCCAGTCACCCATGGTGAGGCCTCTGCTGGGCGCTTGTACTGAGGTGTGGATGAAGGGAGGGGGCGTTTCGTGGGGTAACTGAACCGCAGTTTGGGAAGGGGCGAAGGGACTGGGTGGTCACCTGCAGGTGTGCCTGCTCAGAGAAGACACCGCCTTTGGCTGTCTAGAACTGAACGAGTCCTAAGAGCAGATGAAGAGGGTGCGCTGAAGCTGCTTGTGGCCCTGCACCCCTTAAACAGAAGCTGTTTCTTTTACTTTAGGAGGAAGAGTTTAATTTGGTTCACACAGCTTCTGTTTTGACCTCAGCTGTGTAACCAGCTTTCTTCTCTGCATTTTGTGGAGTAAGGTGCTTTTAGGAATTAAAACAAACAAACAAATGAAACAAAACCAACAAACATATATGGCACATTTGGGAAATGCCATGGTTTCCAAAAAGCCTAAAACTGTTCACCTAGTTTGTACTGTGACTCAAGCATAGAGAGCTATCAATTGGATGGATCCCATCATTACTGGACTCCAGATCCTTCTTGAGGAGCCTCTGATAACAGCTCCCTGTATGGGATGTCTTGACGTAGCTCATGTGGTGTTTTTTGGGACTCTGGGACACCCAAAGAGCCTTGGGCAGGTCCCAGGTGTGCTGCGAGGGTTAGACGGGGTGGAGTGCTGGGTGCAATCGACAGTGGACTCGGACCATCAGGGTTTCATTCCCTGCCATGTGTCCATGTGACCAGCCTCTGTTCTGTTCAGGGGACAATAGTCATGTCTGCCTTCTAGAGCTGCGGTGTTAGAATAGCATGTGATGAACTCTGCAAGAGGCTGCACCTGTAGTGAGCGCTCCGTGGGTACTGCGTCTATCACGAGGATTACAGT